TGCCTGCCCATTGCTTTGTTCATATTTCAATCCCGCCGCACTGAAGGATGCACCGCCAGAGGCAACGAGTCATCTACAAAAATCGGGGAAGAAATAAATAAAACAAAAACGACGTCCTGCATAAATCAAAGTGAATTTTTGACAGTGAGCCCTGCTCATTAAGGAAATCAGTCACTTGTTTTCTCAAACACTTCACTGGCAGGAAGACCAACCGGAATGTTCCTCTTGCCTGAGTTGAGTGCATCTCGCAGGCTCTGTGCACTGGCATGTTTGTTGCTATTTTTAATTCAAAATCTTTAGCCCATTTGATGGGGTTTTTTTTGCTTGCACGGCACAACAGCAGTAGTGCACGAGCTTTGATGCCGGGGTCTTGTGCTTGTTACATGTCCTTTATTCATGACCAGGTGAGAGACTGATGACGATTGCTTGTGTTGCGATCGAAACGTCGTGATATATTTTTTTTAATTTACTTTATTTTAATTTTTATTATTTTATTGTTAATATTTTTTCTATCAACATGATTTTACCGAAAGAACCATAGAATAAGGTGAGAGCCGATTGAGACTCACTCACTCAAACGCCCATTCTCTCAGTCGAAAACAGGTCCTTTATATCAGGTGAGAACCAATGGAGACTAAAGGTGACTCTTTAAAGGTAGATCTTGATTAAAAACAAAGGATAAAAGTCAGACACGGCACACAAGCATAAAACAATACATAAATTATAAAGTTTGAACAATTAAAAATGTTAGAATACAAAAAATATAAATCAGTCTCCACAAATTAAATCGAGAATTAAAAGTTTGAATTTGCCTATGCATAACACATTAAACGCACATTTCAAAAAGACAGACATTAATACTTTGCACGTAAAAACATAACTCAATATTGCCTGCAATGCAATAGTTTCTAAGTGTAATTCCTATACTATATTGTTCCATATGTGCATCGTATCAAACAGATTTTCCATATGTAGAAATTCTACAACCAAGTGTTTAAGTGTATAGCAATGTGTTGTCTTTTTGTTTCCATCTCCCTTATGTTTAAAAACTCACCCTTTCCAGACAACCTTAATGGGAAATGGAATGCATTCTGCGGTCACGATAAATGTACGACATCAATGTCTATACCCCACTAAAACTGTCTTACAGAAACGGATGTTCCTTTAAAAAAAAAATACTACTTCACTGCTAATTGTTTCTGAAAGTTTTGTTTTCATCTGGGGTTTCAGCATGTAACCTTTACCCTTGTGTATTGCTTTCTGACTCAGGTCCCCCTTGAAGAAAATACTTTTGGACTTAATAGACTCTCTTCTGGTTTATGTACAGATGTGACGATTGACGTGCTTTCGTAATGATACACACTTTGCCTGAAAATGATCAACAAAAGCACTTTGCCTGAAGAGAAGCAGTCAATTTAAATGCGTAATGTCTCATTATGACCACGCATGAACCATTGCCCAGAGCTACTTGATTTTGAACTCAGCTGGACTCAAAGATTTTGGCTCTCAGCAGTGCTGGCTCTGTGGCCTGGCAAGGCCATCAGCCCTGAGCCACACATCCACCCCACTGTTGCTGTCATATTTTTAAATGCCAGATTTTAACACGTTCCCTCTGCGACATTTCCACCGAGAGACTGTGTGCCAGAGCATAAATTGTTATCACCTGAGGTGGCAAATGTTGTGGTACAATTTATTCACGTGACCAATAAAAATAAAGTGACAATATTTTTAAAATGAATTATGCATCAAGGCGCTGATTCGGTCAATCGTAGTGTAGTGTAGCACAAGTCGGAGCCGAGGTAGTTGCAGGAGGCACCTTCTTTAATAACTCTCTTTAGGTTCAACAGGTTCACCTCCTTCCTTCTCGTTGTCGTGCAGCCCAGCCTAGACACAACCCTGACTGCGTTACACTGGCAGCGTCGACCGAGACAGCCAACAACTATCCGGCCGCGCAATTATCGAGTGAAGGCGGCAGCGACGAAGGCGGGGAAGACGACGACGATGACAAGACCAGTCCACTCCCAAATCCGGCAGCCCTGAGATCTCGCTCTCCACTGCTTTTATCCTATTCGGTGTGGCCTGGCTCTGCCCTGGCCATGCCTCTCTTCTCGAACCCACTAGTGGGTTCTACGGGCTTCCCGATGAGGTCTTCCGTGACCTTTGCCCCAGTTTCTCCGCTCTGCCGGCACACCCGTATATATGCTCAACGGTGTGTGCACTAACTGTCCACCACAGTTGCCGCTGCTGGACAGCAGTCGGCGCTATGTCACCACAGTAGTACTGTAATGTAATACTTATTTTATATTTTAATCATAACTCTATGACTAAACCATGATGGCAAATAATCATTGTCAAGCTGTCCAGTTCACCAAAATGTGAAGAAATAGTTTTGCCCAGTGATATAAAAATGTTTTTCAATGAAATTGTATGAAAAATATTACTTGTGGACATGCCTGTAATCAAGTGCTTTAGAGGCAAGGATCGGTGGATCTCAAATTTGTCAATGTTCAAGACTCGCTGTGTAGTGAGTTGCATGCACACCAAAATATCATGACCCCACTATTGCGCACCTTTGAAAATAAACACCTCGAAGGCCAAACATCGCACCCCCTGGCTTTCCCATTCCTCTTCCTCGAAGGCACTGGTATAACCATCAACGCCGTCAAAACCTCAACAGGCCAATGCGCACATCTCCCTTATAAAATAAAAGTTGAAGACACGCCACATTAGTGTGATTGTAGCCATGCAACTCAAAGCTATGGGCCATATAAATAAATAATTGTAGAGGAGGAACAGCAAAACAACACAAACTATCACCTGAAGCCATCTCGTCGTGGCTAGCAGACCTCAGCATTGGCATTTAGCTCCTGACCATATTGCTGCCATCGGCGAGAATTCTCTGGGTAATCCAGTCTCCTGCAAAAAAACACTGATTTTAAAAAATCTAAACATAAATCAATAACACTGCCTTAAAAGGAACATATATACAGCAATACGCAACGGTTCTCGAAATATCCTTTTATTTGTAAAAAAATATCCTTATAAAAAAATTAGCCAAACATCACATCCATCACCCTCCTGAAAACGAGCCTTCAGACTCACAGAGGCTTTCTTGGATAAATAAATTACATTGTAAAATGTTCAAATTTTCCATCCAAGTGCCCTTAAAATCAAGCATGTGGTCAGTTGCACCAACCAAGGTAGTTTTCACAAATCCGTACCTCTAAGACCATGGAAATTAAAGTGTAATTTTCTCACCCCAGTTATGACTATGTATAATGCGACCAACCACTGCTTCTGAGACCAGAGGGGGGGGGGGGGGGGCAATGACCCTGGTCTGAGACCAGAGGTTCAATCCACCAGGGGGTGGGTGGTGGGGGGGAAGCTGTCCCTAGGAGCCATCGGGCCCACGTAGCTCCCATTTTGTGCCCATCCCCAAGGTGAGTGCAGCATCAAAGAGGCACCGCCAGGTGGCGCACGCCTTGTCACCCGCGTCCACGGCTCGGCTTTCCCCGGGCGCTAGGCGGGCATGGAATGCTCTTTAGGAGCAGTGTTTGCGGCAACAATTGTATTCTTTTCTTTCGTATGGCTCATGCAGACGCAGAACTACAATTTCACATTCTATATTAAAAATATATATATTGAACTATTTCATCAGGTAAGGCTGATCAAATCTAGATTAAGGCTGAGTTATGTAGCTTTTTTTTCAGAAGCCACCTGGCCACGACTCAACGAAGTGGCGTATCATGTACACATTTTTTAGTAGCCAAATACTCTAAACGCATGTTGATTCTAAATGTGGAAGGCATCAACCACCTCCTGTATACCAGGCGAGGTCGTCAACATCTCGCCATCGTGGCGCCAATTCGGGTGGTCAAGCCAAGACAATCGCGTGAGGAGCAGCGGAGTGCATCGTTGTGACGTCTCCTTCGTATTTGTGTACAGGAGGCGGGGCGCATTGCGTCGTGGTAACGTCGTCGTCGAGTTCGGCTCCCGGATGACCGCGGTCGCACCAACTACCGCGAGCCCTGAACTCGCAACGACGCGAACGCGAGAACATGGCCCCCGCGTTGCCATGGAGCTGGGCAGCGGAGAGGGGGAGGGCCGCCGGCCCCGCCCCATCCCCCGGCCTGCCCCATCCCCCGCCCTGCCCCATCCCCCGCCCTGCCCCATCCCCCGCCCTGCCCCATCCCCCGCCCTGCCCCATCCCCCGCCCTGCCCCATCCCCCGCCCCAACGAGAGTGGCTCCTCACACCCCCGCCCCCCCCCTGTTGCCACACCTCGTGATTACCGCGCCCTCCCCCCACCGCCGCCACGCACGGGGCAACTGCGCGGACGCTGCCTCGGCTCGTGATTTGTCCGCGAGCCGCCTAGCAACGGCAACTCCCCCCCCCCCCCACCTTTGCAAGCGCGCGCACGATTCGTCGGTCGCGCGCGGTGCCGGCCAACGAGGACGCGGGCCCGGTCGCCTACCCACGCTACGCTTGTGGTGAGGTTTGGGGGGCAGGGGGAGGCGTGGGGGGGAAGGGGGAGGCGTGGGGGGGGGAGGTGGGGGCGAAAGTGGCGGGGGGGGGGCGAAAGGAGCGGGGGGGGGGGCGAAAGGGGCGGGGGGAGCGAAAGGGGCGGGGGGGCGAAATGGGCGGGGGGCGAAATGGGCGGGGGGCGAAAGGGGCGGGGGGGCTAAATGGGCGGGGTGAAAGGGGCGGGGGGGCGAAAGGGGCGGGGGGGGCGAAAGGGGCGGGGGGAAGCGAAAGGGGCGGTGGGGGGCAAAGGGGGGGCGAAAGGGGCGGGGGGAGGCGAAAGGGGCTGGGGGGGGCGAAAGGGGCGGGGGGGGGGCGAAAGGGGCGGGGGGGGGCGAAAGGGGCGGGGGGGGCGAAAGGGGCGGGGGGGGGCGAAAGGGGCGGGGGGGGCGAAAGGGGCGGGGGGGGCGAAAGGGGCGGGGGGGGCGAAAGGGGCGGGGGGGGGGGGCGAAAGGGGCGGGGGGGGGGCGAGTGGGAACGCCTCCTCCTACTTCAGCCTCGGCCCCCGTGAGCCGCGAAATGGCGGCGCGGCGGGCGCATCTCGCTTCACCCTCCTCCTCGTCGTCGTTGTCTCCCAGCTCGGGCTCGCTGGACACAACAACAGCGGCAGCGGCGGCGGCAGCAGCAACAACAACAGCAGCAGCAGCCGCTGCCACTACAACTGCTGCAGCAATGACAACGACAGCGGCGGTGTCTGCTACGTCTTCCCCATCCACGACGGCGGCGGCAGCGGCCGCCGTAGCGGCGGCGGCGGCGACAGGGTCCGGGCCGGGTTCCGGCCAGGACAGCTCCGCCGATGGAGGCGATGCGGGCAAGGAGCTGTTCGAGGCGTGCCGTAATGGGGACGTGGGCCGCGTGAAGCGCCTCGTCAGCCCTCTCAACGTGAACGCACGGGACACCACGGGCCGCAAGTCCACGCCGCTGCACTTCGCGGCCGGTGAGGACGTCGGTGTTGTTGTGGTCATCATCGTGACCGTTATTGTGTGCGTCCTCATCATTACATACATCATTGCCATAGTTAAAGTTACCTTATAATCATGCTCACGGCGGTCATATTCATAATTGTCAACATTATTACAACGGTGTATTCATGCTCGTAATACGGTAATCGCCATCGTAGCAATCGTAATGATAATCGTTCGTTGCATGTTCATCATAAACCATCAGTTGGTCATAATCCGTTATCGTGTTTATAATAATCGTTATACTCACGATTACATTAATCGTTAGTTATCTTCAGCAGTAGTATAAACAGCTTCGTTACTAATTATAATCAAACAGCAGCATTGTCATATTTTATGAACATCGTCATTAGCATAATGATCATAACAGCAATGTTAGCACCAACGATATCTTTGCAATCTTCACAATCGTTATTACCACCATCCATTTCCATAAACGTAAGCATCACCGTCATCAAAATTAACACCATTATTTTCGCTCGCAGCACCCACCACCACCACCCAGTATCACTGATATAATCATCGTTTCCATCACAACTAACGCATCACTTGCCATCATTACAGCACCCATCACTTATACCATCATCATTACTGCAATCTTCACCCATTACGACCATCACCACCATCGTGACCATCACTGCTAACCCAATCGCTTCGATCAAAGACAACGATGCCCCGTCCAGCCTCAACAGACTGCTGGGGCAAGTGCTGTTAGCGAGCACCTATTAAGGCCGGCACGGCACACGAGGGGGGGGGGTGGCCAACACCACGCCCGGCCGCCTTTGTCTCCCCGAATGGCGATGTTTATACTCCGAACCGCACCAGCTTCTCATTTGCGGCCGAGTCATAGTTCATTTCATAGTTCATTTATTCGGTATAGCCCTGTGAGCCATTCGGCTCTTGAATCGGGTGCAACCGCAACAAACAAAAGGACCAGTTCAGACAACTCCCGTCAGCGGCGTTGGTGGCCGTGAGCGGGGGAATCGAACTCTGCTCGCCGGGTTCGTAGCGCGGCGTAGCGCTAACCGCGGCGCCACCGCTCCCTTCGCCACCACCACCAACGCCGCCGTCGTCGTCACACGAAGCCGTGGGCGTGAGATCGGGCCTTGTTTTTATTTTCTAGGAAAAGCCCGAGGCTTCGGCCTGTGCGTCGTATGCACTTGGGGGGGGGGGGGGGCTTTAAGTTCACGTCTCTCTGAAGCAAATTAACTCAATTCGAGCGATGGATGAGGATTGTGGTCATGATGGTTATGCTGATGGAGTCATGAGGGAGGATTTTTTTTGGGGGGGGGGGGCAAAGGTTTGGGGTCGGGATGTTGGAGGAAGCCTGGGCCTACCTAACCCTGATACAGGTTTTATAATCGTTGAAAATTAACGCTTTTAAATATTACTGTTGTTCGTTATTGGAATAGAAGTTTGTACGTAAACAATACGGCGGTGTTGAGGTTATCGTGGAAACAATGAGACGATTAATTAACATCAATTTACGTTCATGTGTAGGCTAGTGAAGGCTTTCAAATTTAAATAACGTTTTCTCTCACTGAGAGCGCTTAAAAATAAAACGAACAAAACTACAACAGAAACCCTTTATTAATTTTCCTTTTCTGAAGTTTTAAATGTTGAGTTGCGTTAATATTAGACGCTTAGGATTATAATAAACCTGTAAACATGATGCATTATACAGTACTTGAAGATGAATCACTCCGTGCACGGTGTGACACATTACTGAGCAGTTTAATTACCGCCTTACCTTGGCAGCAGTGTCAAGATCTCTAATGTTGCTGCATAAGATAACTTTCTAATAATACTGGTAATGACGTTGACTATACTGTACGACGACGGTGTGGAGAGATCTTCATCCATGAGTAGATGTACCGTAGCTGGGATTCTTTAATAATGCCAGGTTATCCAGGAAAGCCTCGTTAGTTTCAAGTCTTCACTCTGGTCCCTGCATTGTTATGTTTTTAAAATAGTTTTTTTGGTATCACGTCAACACGACGATTTGTAAAATAAAATTGATATTTTAGGAAGTTTAAAAAAAAATGCAGTAACAAGGTCGATTGTGTTTTTTTTGCTGGTACAAAATCCCGCAACCATTTGAGAACTCCGCTGCTATGATGTCATATAACTAACGTAATGGCTCATATTACCGTCGATATTGTGCAGTGCCAATCCAGTTGTGCATTTTTCCTGATTGTTGGCTTCAGTGAATGTAAAGTGTTAGAATATTGTACACCAATAACTCTGCGCTATATTTCTCTGCATCAATACCGAGCGTGAATAATTCAAGTTTATTTGTTGGTGCGCACGAATATTTAGCTGCTTGTAATGGCTTTGCATCTCATGCATGTCCTTGGGGACGACTGCTGTTTTTTTATGTTGCTGGCCTTTACCTCATACTGAAGCTAATCAATTAAGCTGTTGGCGCATTTTCTCACGCGTTAATGCATTGGCAGATAAATCAAGATACTGCTTCATGCACAGGAGATATCATTAATCTAAACTAATTTAATTGCAAAATAGTTAGATGTATATTTATACAATAACAATTATCTGAATGTTATTATATATTTACGGCTTAGTGCAAAACGTATGTGGTTTGGCATGTCAGTCAAGAATTGCTTTGTTTTACTGAATCTAAATTTTGATGTGTCAGTGTTGCTCCCCCAGTTGCTCCATTGAACCCATATCTGCATGGGATACTTCAGTTCAGTAATAAACCTATCATCTTTTGGCTTACCTTAGTCCTATTTAGCTGAGGGACCTCACCATGCAGAGTCACTGCAGTTCAGGTCCTCCACTGTTATGGAGTACGGCTTTGGCTTCAGTAACTAACGCTTTGTGCGTGTGTTTGCATTGAACTCGCGCAGGCTTTGGCCGCAAGGACGTTGTGGAACACCTCCTGCAAAACGGGGCCAACGTGCATGCCCGCGACGATGGCGGCCTCATTCCCCTGCACAATGCGTGCTCGTTTGGCCACGCCGAGGTGGTAAACCTGCTGCTCAGGCAGGGCGCCGACCCCAATGCTCGTGACAACTGGAACTATACCCCGCTCCACGAGGCTGCAATCAAGGGCAAGATTGACGTGTGTATAGGTGAGTGTCGACGCAACACGGATAAGAGTGTTTATGCCTATATTGTTTACTAATCCGTTGTCAACTCAGACTCGTCGGCAACGCGCAGTGACCTTATTTTCCTACGCATAGAGATTGAGATACGGCCTGCGCAATTTTGTGCTGTCCGGCCCATCCACATGGAACTCACTGGTCACTGTCCTGGATTTGTCAACGTGAACAAGTTCTGCAGTAGACTATGGTTTGAAATGATCTGTACAGCTGATGCGGCATGAGCATAGTGCCTTAGTGATTGCTAGCCTTTGTGCTCTAAAAATGGCACGAATATCAAATCATTTGTGTGGCACGCAGTCCACATGAGCTTTGGTTGGTCCCACCAGCACACAGCATGCAACTTAATCAAGCTTCACGCTGTTAATATATGGTTCCCCAGATTTGACGCGGCCTCGATTTTCTGCACAAACAGGTGTGGCTAGTACAGCTGACTACATCTATACTGTTCCCCCTGTTGTGTCGTTGACAAATTTGGATCTATACATTGCCTGACAGGAGTCTACTTGAATAACTGGTCTCTCCAATTTGCACGCTCTTGTGATCTGAAGTGAATGCGGATTTGTGGAAATTGCGTGCAAATGGAATAATTGCTCAAATGTGAGGTTTGGAAGAGAAGCGTTTGTTTTTGCTGTGACATGCTGTTAAACTACGACGTATTTTTTTGTTAATTGCTTGAGTGCCGTACATTTTAACTGAAATGCATGTTGCTCAAGTCAGATTTTTTATTCGAGTGTATCATCAGCCCACCAATATTTTGTAGACAGCACCACTCACTATTAAGCATTGGCCATAACAACCTCTGTGCGGTGTTTACTAGATGGGAACATCAACTGCCTTTATCTTGTGCTAACAGGAGATGAGTGACTGTACAAGGATATTTTAAATAGGGCTTTCATAGATTTATCTTGTATCAAAGGGCAACAATGTTGGCAACGTGTAATTGGTGGGAAATGGTGTCCGGAGCGAAGAGAGCTTTCATTTTGCTATCATTAAGCAAGCGTCAAGATTGCAGTCAAGGGCTTTAAACATTGACCCAGTATTGTTTAGGTCAGCATTTTGTGTCGGTTTTTTCCCCCTGTGCCTGCCCATATTTAGTTGTAAGCATTTGCGCAGTACTCGTAAATATAGGAGCCATTAATTGCCAAAATTTGGTAGAATTTGTAAGAGCTTTTGCTGGGACTGGACTAATTATGGTATTGATTCTATTTGTAAATGTGTTTATGCATTTCATTAAAACTGTAAATTTACTTACCATGTTTTGAATTTGTTATACTTCATTATAGTTTAGGTGACTTGCACAATAATCTTTGAAGCAGCCATTAACGTCTGCCTTTTACTGGTTTTACATGTTCGTCTGTCAGCATATCAACAGTGATTAATTTCTCAAGTTATATATTTATTTCTAATCATTAATTAGACCACCACATTGTTTTAGATACAATTTTGGTGCCTGGTGCATTTTTTTCCCTCTACGAAAGCGTTGAGTATGCGGTGGGAGGAAACGTATGCAGTTACGTCAGCATTGTTTTGGGAGGTAACGAATTGATTGTTCAGTAGCAGTTATTGGTCTTAGGTTAGCCGTGCCATCCACAGCCTGTGATGTAATGGGAAAGCTGGAGCCACGCCAGGTTCAAGCCCATCTGCAGGCGGTTGGAGAGGAGGGGGCATGCTGTGGGGGGAAAAAGGGAGATGGACCGATTCGGTTTATTTATCTGCTGCAGCGGACGAAAGCTGAATCGCTGATGTGCGTGTTTCTATAGCTGGAAGGTTCTTTTGAGCTGCACACCAGTCAGAAGCCACGATGTTTGCAGTGAAATTTTGAGCGGCGCTTCTCTGGACATCCTTCACCCTGTTCCCAGCGCGTGGGATCTCTTAATGCTTTACGGAAATTACCACGTCTTTGGGGGAAACTACGAGGCAGCCTGCATTTAATGATGAACGTTCACAGTGCAGCTGAGACAGCCCTTCAGGAGGCTTGCCGAGCAAGCTGTTGATCTCAGCCGACGCCGTGCTGTTAGATCACTTTTCGTAAAAGGAATTTTAGCAGCATGCAGTCGCACAGCGGTTATCTGTGATTCATCATCCGCAGAGAAAGATTTCATCGGGAGTTTATCTGGGTTTTTCTGTTCACATTTTTTTAATTTAAAATAGTTGTGGTGTGAAAGATGTTGCTGAAGTCACCAGTTTCATGGCGTGTTTATAAATTTAAACCTAACATAAATTTAAGCGTGATAAATTATGCAATTGTAAGAAAACTGATTATGTATTCTGTAGTGCATCTCTGCAGCTATTAAGTAGTGCATTAATGCAGTTTACTGAATAACAGATTCATATCCATTTTATATTTTATTGGCGAGGTTATTGTATTTTTTTGTCTGATTTACTTTAAGATAGCAGTGTAATTTATTTATGTCAAACTACCAGCGGGAGTTTTATTCTATATTACAATGCTTGTACGTGCTGATTTATAGCTCGATAGGCTAGTCTGCTGCGTGGATTTAGCGTTGCAAGAATTGACAGTTAATCTGCGTCACCATTTTGCATTTGGTACCGCTAACATGATTGTGTTGTCTTTTGTAGTTCGTGATGTAGCAACAGCATATTTTATTTGTAGCCATCTACAAACCCTTGTCTTACCATGCGCTAGTTATTCAGTGGGTTGCCTCTATCAAATTGCTTCGGTCTTGGTTGCTTTTCCACTTTGGATCTACATTTTAACATTATTTATTGGAGGGATTTGCCTTGCGTCAGCTTGCTAGTCGTTTTCACTCGGCGGTGCTTTCAAACTTGCCTCTTCTGGACAAGGATAACATCGGACTGGATCGACTACGTCTCCCAACAAGGCACCAGCCTCCGATTAGCTACCCTCACCTCGCTGTGTGGCTCGCGCCAAGCCCAGCTTCGATGTTGCACTCGTGCGGAGTGGCGACTGACATGTGGTACTGCCTGCCGTGCTTCCCCTGCCTAGTGCTCTTGCAGCATGGTGCCGACCCGGGAATCCGTAATACGGACGGCAAGACGGCTCTCGACCTGGCCGAGCCAACTGCTAAAGCAGTGCTCACAGGTAAGCAGCGCACCGCATTCACCTTGCATCTGCACCGCACAACACTGCACCGCACCACATCGCACTACTGTACACCTTTAATGCAGGGCTGCACCATACTCGAGTTAAAATCCCAAAGCCTTAAACCACTACGCACGCATTTGATGTGGTCGGTATGCTTCTTTAAAAAAAAAAAAACTTAAAGGACTGCGACTAGCAATGTGTAAAAAAAAAATGCCTAAATTTTCAGCCTATTATGGGCTCTTTCAAGGCATTGTCAGTAATGATGGTGGTGAGGTTGTATCACTCGCTGAGTAGTGTGGACAATCAGCTCGTGTGGCTTGTGCAGCGTACTTGCAAATGAAGCCGTGATGGTGTGACGTCTGCTGGGCGTGTGGATTGTGTGGTGCTGCTCTGCTTATAGATGCCATCAAACACTGCTGTGGTGAGGGCAGGCATCAAAAAAGCACACCGCATGGAAACATCACATCACTCGGTGTGCTCACCCCGACCTCCCTGAGGATGGCTCTTTCACGAATTCCCATTACTCCCTGGGGTCTTGAAAGGGGGAAAATATTTCCTGGCAGATGACCAGTTTTTGCCAATGTTAGCAAATTTACAAGCGAGTTAAGATTAGGCTTGAGAAAGCAAAATGCATGTTGCTTAACATTTTGGCTGATAGGATTTTACCAGGACTGGTGGTTGTGCCACTATTTTCCCTTTGCACTTTAAAACTTCTGATGCCTGTTCATTGTATTTCTATTTATTATTTTGAAGATTCCAATTGACCCTCTGATTATAATTTGTATATATGTTGAGGATGGCCATTTTACATTTCATTCCAAGCGTCTGTGTAACGGCCATGTGTCATATACTACATGTCAAAATTGTTATTTGTCCATTATGGTTTGTAAGAATTTTTATTTAAATGTTGCCAAATTGTCAACAGCATGTGTACGGATTGTGTGCATATTGTATATACTTATAAATATTGAGCGTCGTATTGGTGTGTTGCGCATCAAATTAATGTATTGGACTAATGGAATTGTAGTGTTGTGCGCTGTCTTCAGTCTAATATAATTTAAAGGAAAATATAACAAAACAAATAAGCCCCTGCATGTCAGTGATAGTATTTTCATTTCACTTAATAGTGACTAGATGACATTGATAACATTGAAGTTGCATTTGAGAGAGGGGATATGTGCTCTAAATTGGCCTCTTTCAGAAACATGTATTGATTACGGCATTCATGATTTTCATCTGTAACGCACAGCTAGGCTTCTCATTGAATGTCGACCAGACACAGGGTCCTGCAGTTTATTCCCAGCTGCTGCATAATGTCAGAGTAGGGTTAACCCCTGCCTGCCAGGAGCGTGCCCAGCTGTGTGACCTTGGCACACATGCAGTTTGACTTTTCGAAAGAATATTTATTTTTCTTCCAGCTTAATGGATGGTTTCCCCAAAGAAAATTTACACAGTGCTTCTCTCATTTGGAATCTGAATAATAATATTAATTTACAGCCCATCATTAATGTACTGCTGGGTGAAAGTCTTTCTATGCCATGTCAGTGAGGTTTGATTTGGGGCGTGATGGGGGAGCCCTTGAGCAGTTCAGATATCACTTGCCACTTAATTAGCCATCATCAGGAATTCAACTCCGATTGCTTGTTTCATAGGACAGTGTGTGCTACCTCCGGTGCCACAGCATTATTTGGCATCCTAATTGTTGACCCTAACATTTCACAGCGTCCTGTATATGAAACTTGTGCAAATCTTTTTAAGTTATGTTCTTTCAAGGAAAACGTTATCAGATTTAAAGCAAAGTGCTATGTTTCTTCTGAGTGGCCTATAATACACTACAATTCCACCTTTTTATTAAATGCCATTTAAATTATTTTAACTGGAGAGTCCTGTTTCTCATTTTAACTGTCCAATGTGAATTAGTAATTTCCAGAACCACTGACCATAGTGGACTCAATCGTTGTCGCCTCTTCGCACTCTTCACACAGCAAATTATTCCATGTTAACCATTGCTATTGACGCACATGCTACCTCTTGATTGTCACAAGTCATCGGCACATTGCTTGTTTTTCACACGAGGGGAGAGGGTCTCCTTGGGTGGCCGATTTTTCCCTGCCTGTCAGACCCCTGTGTTGTGCCCTTTCGCTGGAACTGCAGTGGTTAATTTAATAGAAAACGTGCCTTGTTCGTGCGTAATGGAATTTGAGCAGGCTTGTGTATCATGCGGTAGAATGTAATGCTGACAACATGATGGGGAATTTTCAAAAACATTTCTTTTTAATGGCATTTTGGTGACATACGCGACTACATTTAACGCACTCTTGTTATTGTGAAGTGTCCATGGAAGGCAAGCATTATGGATGGTTGACAATTACCCAGCGGAGTTTGTTAATTATGCATCACTTGAAAGTTAAAATTATCCGTTCTTTGTAACCTAATTTAAATAAAAGGCATTTTTAATAGTTGACATACCATCCTGTTTAATTAGAATGGCCATTCCAGCACAGCTTTGTCTTTGTCAGGCGCAGGGTATATTTAACTTTCCTGCAGACACGAGTGCTACTGCGGTGTAAATTGTTCTCTGCAAGCAGTTATGGATTGGTAGGCCTCGCTAATGAAATTAGACCTCCCTCAGCCTATCACATTTCCCGATTGGTGTCATGGAAGCGGGCGGAGAGGGCAACCGAGCGTCGCGGCGAGTGGACGCGTGGGGAAGGGGGGGGCAGCGGCAAGGAGGAGTGGAGGGCAACAGAGTGGGGTGGGAGAAAGTCGGGTGGGAAGGAGAAGTCTGGATGGATGCAGAGGCAGTGAATCTTGTCACTGATGCGTGAACATGTCCCAGCCGGGCCGCAGGGCCACTTGCTCTGCTCCACGTGCCTGTGTCTTGCTTCCATTCGTCCGGAGAAAGTTGGGTCCGGTGGTTGGCACATTGTGGTCCTGGTTCACCGTGCCTTGTCGCCCCGCAGGTGAATACAAGAAGGATGAGCTGCTCGAAGCGGCCAGGTATGCTACTTGCACTTAGCTTGCCCTCTCGCAGCCCCACCTCCTTTGTCCCCACCGCAACCTCGGCTCCAAATCAAATGCATGAAAATCAATATTTGGAGCGGTGGCACATGGAGAGACGGCTTATCGATTTCGTAATTATTCTCCAGCCGTGACAACATTTCTTCTCAGAAATATTGATGTGAAATTTTCAGCATAATGGCAAAATTTTCGTGAGCCATGCGGTTTGTAATGCTGTCTCGTTACCATATCTGTACTTATTTGACAAATAAGCCCTCAGCTGCTAATTTATCAAATTAACCTCATCATTTTCGTTTTGTTTTCAATTAAGTTGTCAGAATCATAGAATGTTGATGGTTGATGTGAAAAAAAAAACACTTGTGCTGATTTTTCACAAACACCATTAAGATGGCCCTACAAAACAGTGTGATATTAGGATGAGAGCTAAAAGCCATTCTGGCGGTGCTGATCATGCCACTTTGTAGCATGCGAATGCCTTTCTGTGTGACTAAAGGATCTAACACGTGGTGTCTTGATTGATTCCTAGGAGTGGTAATGAGGAGAAGCTGATGGCTTTGCTCACGCCGCTGAACGTCAACTGCCACGCCAGCGACGGCCGCAAGGTACTGCGAGCCCGCCTTTTGGGAAAAAAAACCCGGGTGTTTACATTTTCCCGAACATTGCACACCATCCTCAAATATGAGAATGATAATTGGTATTTTTTATACATGTTTTTTTTTACGTGCGTTGGAGAGTGCGCCCAAACATTAAAGGGGTTTTGTGAAACCTCTGCACCCATGCGTGAAATATCATTTCCCATTGTGAGCGGATCGCGCGTGCGCTTCCTCGACGCATTCACGACCAGTGCACACGCTGGCTCCTCGGCTGCGCGGTTGTGACCTTTGCAGCTTCGCAATGGACATCACTTTCATTTCAGCTGCTCAAAGTGGTAGGGGGTACACCAGTAGTCTGATCCTCAGGGCTGTGTCACTCTTAACCTGCCTGTGGCAAGAGCGCGAGTAACTAGGAGCTGTCTTTCAGTACGGCCGTTGTGGTTTTTTTTGGGACTCTAAAGTCCTGCACATATGTCATTTTCAGCTTTGAATACAGCTGGCAGTCATATTGCCTTTTTATCCAAGAATTTCTATTTGGATTCAGTGTTACCATTGCAAAGTAGTTATGGAAAATAGCCGGGCATAAAAAAAAAACATGGGTACGAACGAAATGGCTGGAAATCCATGCGTAAGTGCTCTTGCTGCATATTTTGCAGCGCCGTGTATAGTGCTATGGTTATAAATAATTAAGTGTGAAATGAAATTGCTCTTGAAATCGCAGCTTTAAAGGCGATGCATTAGTTTGTGTGCAATGCCGCAAAATAATTAATGTTTTTTTCGCTGCGGTGCAGTTTCACTTGTTTATGATGTGCCCTCTCTTGATGTCCAGTCGACGCCCCTACACCTGGCAGCCGGATACAACCGCGTGCGCATCGTTCAGCTGCTGCTGCAGCACGGAGCCGACGTGCATGCCAAGGACAAGGGGTGCGTGCCCTCCCACCCCTTCGCCCTAGCCCCCAACCCCACCACAACTTCTACCCCACTTCCCCATCCTCTACTGTCTCTCCACCCACCCCCCACCCTTCTGTCCACGCCATGCTTCCAGCAATGCGCCACTGAGCGGCAGCCACACATGGGTGCATTTGTGCTTCTGCCCCGGCTCCCAAAGTCTTGATGTCTGAGTATTGCGTGTTTACTCGGGAGGGAGGGAGCGTAATTTAATGTGCACCTCTTGGCTGTGTTGGCTGTGCCTTGCCACGGCCACAGAGAACATTGCGCCATCATGCAGCATGAGTTATTGGCAGACTTGGTTTGCTTCCTTCAACAATCTAACTTTGCACAGTGTTTTTTTAATGGGAAATGTAGATTTTTTTTAATATATATGGGTGTACTGTAATGTATAATTTAGTGCATCTGTGGGACTTGGCCATGAAGGAGGACTAAATTAAGCTTTTTAGTAGACATGCAGTAATCCTGCCTCCCACCTTCCCCCCAAAAGTCAAAGAATAGACAGGATTTAGGATCCCTATTCCATTCAAGAATATTTTTTATGTCTTATTTATAGGGTCTCATTTGTACTCTTGTAGACCACTGACTCGTCTGTATTGTAACGCCTCCTTTGTATCATCTCCTTTACCATCATCACATCGGTCTCATTTGAACTGTCCGTTTCATTCCTTTCTCATTTGTCCTGAGCATTAGCGTAATTAAAACATTGGCATAAACTTTGCACAAATAAAATAAGAATCAATTCCTAGGCGTACGATACATTACGTGTATTGTGAGCGTAAGAATACTGTTTAATCAATTGTGTCGTGCCTCTGTGTTTTTGTAGGGGCCTAGTTCCTCTTCACAACGCCTGCTCCTATGGACACTATGAAGTGACGGAACTTCTCGTTAAGGTAGACTATTTTCTTAATGTCATTAAAACAGTCTGCCTCGGCAACAGACAATGCTTTCCCACCTGATGATGGACGCTTGTGTTGTGCCCGAAACGTCGATTTATTTTATTGTATACCTACATGACTTTATTCAAAGAACCAAAGAGTGTTTCAAATCAAGATTGATGTGGTATTTAAGTTTTAGCCTTCAATGAATTTCCATGTCGCCACGCACCGGGATACTATGAGGGTCTCGGTGTCCTTAATGTAAACATTTGTTTCTTTCGGCTCAAATGAGTAAGGAGTGGCACTCATCTATGCAGCCCTGAATCGGTGGTGATAATTTAAATCTATTCTGGTATCAGACAAATACTGTTTACTGATGTTCTTTAGAAGGGCTAGGAAGTTGAAATTTGAAAAACTTGGTTGAAACTATGATGATAACTTACAAATTCAAAAAAACTACATTGTCTTTGGAGCTCCAAAAATTTCCTCCCTGGAGATTCATTGGTTTCGCGCACCGTGCATGGTCATCCAAAAGTTTAAAATGTATTTAAAGACTGATGCTCAACACTTTAAAATACATAGTCCCCATCATCATTGCATCAAGTAAATATCTTCCCCTGTAGTGTGACACAAGAGTTGATAGAAAATAAGCAAAGCCTTTTACGAATGCATTTTTTTGTGCATGTATGTTCAACGTTTGCACGTACGTAGCCAACCGTGCTAATCGGAGATTCATGATGTGTGTCTATGGATGTGTGTCAAAGCCACCTCTTAACTGGTATTCATGACACAAGTGTAATGGCCTCGATTATGCTGAGACTGCGGTTACTGTTGAGGCCAAATGATTAAGGCAGATGTGGCTTAGTTTGTGCCGAGCTTGTACAAATGGATGTTCAAGTGAGGCTCTTACATTACAACACGTCAGACTTAATGACGGTGCACTCAAAACTGTCATTTTAAGAGCAGTGTGATTTCCATTACGTTCACCATGCCAGTGTTTTTTTCTTCGATTTTCTTTAGAAAATATTATACGCAACTTAAAATTCCTAATGTATAACATGAAAAAATTATTAAACCATTTCTAAATTTGTGCTTTTGAGGGTTGAATTTCGAACAAAATGAAAATCTGCCATTAAAATGTATTAGCTGACATCCAAACATATAAAATAAATTAAGTGAATATTTATATTCAGCTGTTATCTGTTTCGGAGTCAATCTATTTAATTGCAGAACATGTAAAAAATGTAATCTCACCAACCAAACATTACAAAAAGTGATGAATAACCCTTTTCTCTCACAGAAAATAAGAAGAGTTGTCATTTTTATACTCTTCTCATAATCCTGTATTTGGAGCAATAAAAGTAATCTGCTTTTTTATGTTATAAAATGGCAAGATAATGTATTGAGTTTTTTTATAATTAGGATTTAAAGAATATTTTGGCAAAATAACTCATTAAGAGTACAAATTGAAAAGTTAGAGCAATTTTAAATTAACTGTCAGTCTGCTGTATTCGTTACTGCCACCTCTTCAGTGTTGCTATCGATTACATGGCTTCCTAACTTCTGCCGTTTCAACTCAATGGTTATTTGTTTCACGTCAATCCCATTTGTCCAGATACCCAGCTAGTTTTGGTTACAACGTCCTGGAGAGGAGCCCAGCCAGCAGCCAGCCATAAAACTAGAGAGATTATTTTTAATAGTACTCTGGTTATATTTTCATACTTTTTTTTGTACGGTAAGGTTTTTGTTGAATTCCAAATTAATATTTTGTAGGCAAATTGAAAGGAAAACCAAAGCGAGCGTGGGTTTTTGACTTAACCACATCTCAGTGTTTAATTATCATTCTATCTCGCGTCTGTAAACTGTTTTCGCTCACGTTCCACGTGTGTGTGTTAGCACGGCGCCAGCGTGAACGCCATGGATCTGTGGCAGTTCACGCCACTACACGAGGCAGCGTCAAAGAACCGTGTGGAAGTTTGCTCGCTGCTGCTGAGTTACGGCGCGGACCCCACGCTCCTCAACTGCCATTCGAAGAGCGCCATCGACCTGGCACCCACCTCTGAGCTCAAGGAAAGGCTCGTCTGTGAGTTGGCGAACCGAGTAGAGTCTTGTTGACACTACCCCTTAAGCTGCAGGTTTAGTGGTGGCGGAGCTTGAGGCACTGCTTGCGAAAGACGTAGTGAATCTCAGTGGGCTGTTATCACGTTAAATATAATATATTTACTTGGGATAGATAAAAACATTTTAAATGCGTTTATCAGACAGTCATGCTCTGTAACTAGAAGCACTTGAGTGCCAATGCCGGGTCATATAATGTATTTGTTTATAGATCGAGGAAAGCATCAAAGAAACTCAAGACTTTTTTAAAGGAGTGTCTGGTATTATTACCTACTATAATCACCGTACCCCTCCACAATAACCATGAGGGGGTCACTTCACTCCACATGCCGCACCCTTTGCCAATAACCATTAATGGGTGACGTCACTCTACATGGGGCAACCCCCCTCATTAATAATCATGAGCTTAACAATTTTTCCATGGAATATTTCCGATTTACTGCAATATACACCCATCCTTGGATGGGCAAAAAAGCCAGTTGGGGATGTTTGACCAGTTCCACTAAAGAGTTTGGCTCATGGGAGGAAAACAGACTATTCAGAAAAACATCACACTTTTGGGGCGATACTCGAACAGCTGCACAGATATATTCATGAAGCCACTGATTGATTTGAAACTCTAATCTATGTTATCTGCCCACCACCATAGCCTCCAAAGTACTGGATCACAGGAGCGGGCCACAACGCTGATAATGGTGCCAGGGTAACCCGTGCATGAGCTTTCATTGACCACTGACCGGGCGTGTCGATGTGCATGTACGCAGATGAGTTCCGGGGACACTCGCTGCTCCAGGCGGCGCGGGAGGCAGACGTGACGCGTGTCAAGAAACACCTGGGGCTCGACATCATCAACTTCAAGCACCCGCAAACGCACGAGACCGCCCTGGTGCGAACCCGAGCTGTAGCGTGCTCTCAAGTGGGGGTCTCCCCAGAGGTCCACTCAGCTCCTAATGAGCACCTGGTGCAGTGGTTGTCATCTTCGGTTCGGGAGAGACAAAGGCAGCCCAGGGGTGTGCGTTATGTTGGTCGCACTTGCCCGCCACCCTATCATGCTGGCCTTAATAAGTGCTCGCTAACGGTACTTTGTTACAGGCTAGAGCAAGCCCATAAGACTAACTGAGGGGCAGGGGGGGGTGGTGGAGGATTGACGACTGATCCTGACTTATACATTTACTTCATTAGCTCTAACTTTGAATGGAAACATGTAGCATTGTAGACTTTAGCAGGTAGAGGACAGACATGATATTTATTGACTGGGAGAGTATTGTGCTACCAGTCATTTACTTTCGCGTGTTTTTGTATCGTGCGCTGTGTGCGTGTTTCGACAGCACTGCGCCGTTGCGTCTCCCTACCCAAAACGCAAGCAGGTGTCCGAGCTGCTGCTCAGGAAGGGGGCCAATGTGAATGAGAAGACCAAGGAGTGAGCCGCCCGCACTCCTCGCGCGCATGCTGTACAACAAGCGTCAATGTTTTTTTTATATACTCTTCATTGACGTTGATGGTGTGAGATTTTTGTGGGCTGTGGGTTTGGCCCGTTGCACGGCTTTGTGTTACCTGTAGTGAAAGCCTCTGTGATGAAGCGGTATAAAAAAAAAACTAATGGCGCGACTATCTGTTTATTTGCAGTCTCTTGACTCCTCTCCACGTGGCCTCCGACAAGGCGCACAATGATGTGATCGATGTGCTCTTGAAACACGGCGCCAAGGTATTTGCTTTGTTACATTTGGAGCCGATTGACGACTCAAAAAATTGTTAATGCACATCGCCGACACTGTTTGGGTAGTGAAGAATATGTTGGCGGGATGTATGGGTGAAGTGCAGAGGTGGCTCAAAGGACTAATGTGTCAGCACTAAGCCAGCATGTTGACATGAGCTCATGGGTTCCAATCTGTGTTTCAACAACCTGTTAATAAACCAGCTTCCCAAGTGTAATCAATGCATTTTTTTATTCCAATTATCAGAGTGCCTAAATAACATTCAATTTCGATCTTCACTTCGTATATTTTAGCTTTTAATTGATTTGCATATGCAATAAACACCCTTTATTTGGCATTTATAAAAAAAAAATATTCCCCAATTGTGGAAAAGAGACCAATCGAAGTGACTTCAAGTAATGTGTCATCTTCCATCTGCCATTCCTAACAAAAGATCCTGCACAGCTCTGCAGTGATAGCTCCAAAAGTAAATGTCCTCATCTCATGGCACGAGTTAGGTAACACAATTGCAATATAATTGTCAGTAAATGACGGTATCATTCGTAGCACACGCTGGCATGTAGTTTCATGTAACCAATAGTTGTGTTTACCAATCTCACACATTCGTGGTGGTCCTTTTGTCTCCTACAAAGATCAACGTGACGGACTCGCTGGGCCAGACATCCCTGCACCGGGCAGCCCACGCGGGCCACCTGACTACGTGCCGCCTGCTCCTGTCGCACGGCTGTGACCCCAATTTGCCCTCCCTGCAGGGCTTCACCGCCGCACAGCTGGGCAATGAGAGCGTGCAACAGATCCTGCATGGTGCGTTGCAGCACAGGAGGGGTTGGCACTTCCACGTAACCACGACGACAATGATGTAACCATATAACCAATGCTGTTATGAAGTCTAGAGACGTGGGTGCGGAGATGGAAGTTGGGAATATCTCTTAACAGAAAGGAGACGAACTAAAGTAGTGAGGGGTTTAGCAGGGGTTACAAATATTCTCAAGGATTTTAATCGATTTGAGACTTCGATGGGTTGAGAATGTAAGAAGAGATAAAGAAGGTGCAATGATAAGGGCTATGAATATTGTGGTGCAGTGCATAACGAATAGTGGGAGAAGCAAGGGTGACGCCAGGATGTGTTGGAACAAGAGATAAAAAAAGAAGGGGCATAGAATAGAAGCACATAGAGAAAGAAAATCTTAAGAAGCTGACCCCATGCAATAATGAGATTTTTGGTTTTGAAGGGAAAGCGTATTCCCATGTTGGGAGTGGAAGTGGCACAGTGGTTCGTACGCTGCACTACGAACCCGACGACCCGTGTTCCATTGCCCAGTCTTGCATGGCATCAATGTCATTTGGTATCTGATCCTGTTCCTGGCTTTCACTAGGTCAGGGGTCTGCAACCTACGGCTCCTGAGCTGCATGCGGCTCTTTAAGGACTGCTTCGTGACGTTATTTATTAAGCACCTTCTCGTATTCACATGCATTGTGGCTCTTGAAATATTGAATTTGGTACTGAATTCTAAAAAAATGCCTCTTGTTATTTTGGTTGCCGACCCCTGCCCTAGGTAAACTGGGCCGTTTTGTGTTGTGCAAGCATTTGCACTGGGGAGGAAATGAAATGTCATTCGTGGTGTTGTGGCCACCCCATACCCTCGTGTGACATGCTAGTCATAATGTTTTCTAACAGCATTTGCCCCAGCTGCCTGTAAGGCTTCACGTTGGGGATCTTTTTGCTCGCACATTATATTGCATAAAAATCTCAACTTTGATATATTTCTTTCATCTATTTTTAAGACTCAGAAGTATAACATGCTCAGCTACAGCTTCACCCGCTACTTAGTGTGTCTGTAACCCAACAAAAATATTACTGCACCCACATTTCAGACAAGCAATGGGAACACACGAATGGATCGCTGGGAAAAAAAAATATTTGGCTGTTTCATTTTCCGAGGAAGATCAATTGAAAGAAAAAAATAACTGTGATTTGCGGTCTATCAGCACTTGTGTTGTGCCTGTTTTGGCACACTGCATAGCTAGACATAGATGCCTCCTGAGGACAGTTCGCAAAGTGGAGAAACACAGACAAGCGGTGTGAATCACCGAAAGCGTGTTTTGTGTCTTGCTGTCCCCAGAGAGTAGCCTTCCGGTGAGGAACTCTGATGTGGAGCATCAGCTGCTGGAAGCTGCAAAAGCTGGGGACTTGGACACAGTAAAGGTAAAAATCTGCTTTTTCCTTTTAAAATGAATTCTGTGTTTTTAACCTATGGCACCTTTTGCCAGTTTGCAAGATGATGAAAAATAAGAATACTTGTGGCATGTTTTAGCCACAAGTATGATTGGTTAATGCAGAATTGATGCCTTACAAAAGGTATCAATTTGGTGTTTGAACATCTTAATTACCTGCATTATTGCCAGAAAGGGTAAAACCTATTATTTTTTCATGTAGGTTTTTTGAACTGACAACTGGAAGATTCTGACTTTGGACAGTCGAATGCGCACTTACTTTTTAACATAGCAATCTTTTTTTTTTAATGTAGCAAACAGTTGAATTGCTTTCACGTTAAAAATGAAATTGTATCGCATTTTTCCTCTTTGGCTTTTAACTTATGTTCGCATATAATTTTCCTTCCTGGATTTTACGTCAGTTTTGGTGGGGTTTCATTTTTCGAATTGCTTTTGCTATTTTATATTTTCAGGAGAGTTGCCTCGACATTTTTCAGAAGGGTCCTGCCACGTTTTGGCAGAAGTGGATAATGTTTTTATCTGTTATCCCAATTGAATAATTTGCGGCTAAAATGTTCAGCATTGGGATGTTTGGCCAATACCAGTTACATTGTATGTTTTTTTTAGCTATGGGAGGAAACCGGAGAACCCGGAGGAAACCCATGCAGAACAGGGGGAGAACATACAAACTCCACACAGAAAGGCGCCCGAGTCGGGAATCGAACCCAGGCCCTTCTTTCTGTGAGGCACAAACAAGTGTTCCCATTGCGCCACCCTTGTGACATTCTGTTTTTATTTGTATTGAACCTGTGTTTCGTTTTGTTTATATTTTTCATTTTGTTTTGAGTCGCACTGGAATTGATTTGCAGTCCAGTTTTCTTTTTTTGGGATCCAGGTCTTCCTTGAAAAAGAGACGTCTGGGCTCATACCCCATTTTAAATAAAGTGTATCTGTCTATAAATCTTTTACTGCAGCTTGCAGTGCCTTCAGAGTTAAATATGCATTTCAGCACTTAACATGGACATGCAGGCGCTGTGTTTCCAATCCAGTATCCAAAGATTGACAGCAAGTACCGGAGCCCTCGCTGGCTATTTAAAGTAAATCGGTGAAATTGTTCACGTGGAACCGATGACACAAGCGTTCATTTTTCCCCATTTAGTTGGGCAATTGGCATGCCAACACCGTCCATCTTGTGTGCGGCTTCCCTTTTAACCCCATCTCACCCACCATGTGCCTTCCTCCCCCACCACCCCCACCACCACCGTCACCCCCGCCTCCATTCTCCCATCCAGCAACTGTGTACCACGCAGACGGTGAACTGCCGGGACATGGAGGGCCGGCATTCTACGCCGCTGCACTTTGCGGCCGGTTACAATCGCGTGTCGGTAGTGGAGTACCTGCTGCAGCACGGTGCCGACGTACATGCCAAGGATAAGGGGTAGCTCGCGCTCTCCACGACGCGCCGCAAACACACCACACCGCTCGCTCACTCGCTCGCAGTGGCAAACGCCAAGGCCCGTAGGGCACAGCTCCCAAACCCGTGTGGGTGGAAAGGCAGTTTCTGCTCACGTTTGGTGTGAAATGTATCAAGTTGGTGCTGTACAGATATGGCCTCTTTTTACGTAAAAAAAACTGCTGGTTTAAGCGTGTCGCAACAATGCGGTCATGGCCGAGTAAGCATTTTGCATGAGGCATGTTCTTTTTTTCGTTTATATATTCTATGGTCTTTCCCCCCCCCCCCATTTCCAATTATGCGATTGGAATGGTGCCATGAAACAAAATAATCCATTCAGCAACGTCGTGGAGCAGTACCATTTGTCATAAAATGGCTGTGGAAGAGACGTTTTTCACAAAACACTTGAAAGATTGTGAAAGTTACCTGTATTTTACTCGGCATTAATTATCAGAATTGAGGGAGACAAAAGCAGCTGGATGTGGAGCTGGCATATCACTTCTTCGTGAGACGTGCTCGCCTTTCTAGGTACTCGCTAACAGCAGGTGCTCACTATAGTTGAAATTGCTCGATGGAAGATCTGTGTGTTGAGTGATATCAAAACCAGTGCTGGGCCTCCTCTAGATTGCCTCAGCCTTAAATATGTACCTGGTGCGGTGTGTAAACATCAGCACTGGGGGAGACGGTGACATCTGGATGCGGTACGAGCCATACCCTTCCCTCGTTGCATTTGTCAAAACTACGTCTGGGGATCTTTGTGTGTGTGTTTGGTGCCGCCACAGGGGCCTCGTACCCCTCCACAACGCATGCTCCTACGGCCACTACGAGGTGGCAGAGCTGCTGGTGAAGCGTGGCGCCGTCGTCAACGTTGCCGACCTGTGGAAGTTCACACCGCTGCACGAGGCTGCCGCCAAGGGAAAATACGAAATCTGCAAGCTCCTGCTCAAGGTGGCACATGCCTTGTCACAGTTCAACACCCCCTCTGTCTGGTGCCACTTGCCCTTAGTTGAACAATTGGGGGTGCTGCAGTGGCAAGATGTTAACTACCTTGCCTGGTATATAGGTTGTCGTGGGTTCAATCCCGACTGATGCCTGTATATTTGGAATTTGCATGTTCTCCCTGTAGTTGTGGATTTTTCTCCAGGTTCTCTAGTTTTTCCCTCCACAGGAACATAAGTTTAGATGATTTGGCTGCTTTAAATTTCCACGTGATAAGTTACTTCGTTTAGCTATCATTTGTGGCCAGGTTGCTTCTGAAAAAGAGCTATATAGCTCAGTGGGCGTTACCTGGTAAAAGAAAAATAATTTTAGTATTTAAAAATAGTTTGGTTGCTTAGTTTTAGTAATGATTCATGGCACCTCCTTTGCCAGTACCAAAATATGAGAATAGGTTTTCCCCTTTTTTCTGGCAACAAGACAGGTGTTAAGATGTTAAAACACCAAACTGAAACCTTTTACAAGGAAGCATGTCTGCATTAACCACAATACTTGTGGTCAGAATGCAAAAAAAATACTGTGATAATATATGCAGGCAGATTCAACACGTGCGAATCAGTTGGCCAAACAAATTGCAAATCTCGCAACTTAATTGCCTGCTTACACGTGAACGCCTCCGGTAGCCGATACGTACACACATGTAAGCGATTCATTTGCATGCAACCGATTTGCACAACTGATCACTCAGATGTGGTATCCTCCTTTGTAGGAATTGAAACTTTCCTCTTCATATGTTTGCCAAGATATAATGTTGCAACACATCAACAGTGGTCAGGTCTCAGAAGTGCAAACAGCCATAGGCAAGGAATCGAAGACAACAAAAGCAGCTGCAGAGAAGGCCCCAAAACCACCCTTTGAGTGGAGGGTTGACTCTGTTTTGATGGGACGTTTTGTTGACTGAGAGTCTTATTTCAAACCACGAAAGGACAATGGCAAAGCAACATGTATTTGTGGAAAAAGGCATGACCCCAGATTGACATTTCCTTGTTGTGGAGGGGTTGAATGGTAACATCCACATCCAATGGGACTGGCTAAAGTGAATGGCAACTGTGAAAATGTAATTGAAAATGGTCGCATTCATCTTGAAATCAGATATTTTTTATTCACTCAAGTTTTAAAAAAAAAAGTCACTGCTTGGTTTATTGATGCACTTTTCTTATATAAAGTTTGATATGTCAGTGTGTGACTGGTGAAACTATTGTAAGCAATATGTTCTATGCCATGCTTGCATGCATTTTGCATTTCCTTTATTTGTCTAATTAAATTATGGCAACTTTTGGTCTTGGGACAACATTTTTATATTATACCCTCTGCACGAGTCTATGATTGATTATGATTGGTAGTTAAGCATTTAATTCACATAATTTCTGTGTTTTAAATCTATAGTGATTTTCACGTGAGCAATTCTACAAATGTATCGGCATTTTTTTTTTTTACAAGATTTGTTATGAAAGCTTTCGGAACCATAATCTTTATTTTTCAACGCTTATCGGCCCACACAGCACGGCGCTGACCCAACAAAGAAAAACCGTGATGGGAACACGCCATTGGACCTCGTGAAGGAGGGCGACACGGACATCCAGGACCTGCTGAGGGGCGACGCCGCGCTCCTGGACGCCGCCAAGAAGGGCTGCCTGGCGCGCGTGCAGAAGCTCTGCTCCGGCGAGAACGTCAACTGCCGCGACTCGCAGGGACGCAACTCCACGCCGCTGCACCTGGCGGGTGAGCCAAGCTGGCGCCGGCTGCAGTTGCCCGCTGTGACCCTCTCGTTTAACATCTCTCTTTTTTTTTACTTACCAGGAGCGGAGCTACCGAGTGTCGTGTGTTTTATCCAGGAAAGTTTGACTTAAGTCTCGGCATTCTCTTGTTGTCAAAGAGTCGCGCATTTGGGATGGTGGGCAAATTTCTCCTTTAGGATGTTTTTTTGTTTTCCCCATGGAAGAAAACGCACCGCTTATGAGTGGGCAAACGCTCGAAGGTGTCCAGAGATGGGTTCATGAGCATATTTGGTTCATTGCCATCTCGAAACGCGGCAGGTTTGGGCATCTGACATATTTTTGCGATCCATCAACTCTTGCTCACTAAGTGCTGGGTCACCGGCATGTGCTCTGTTACCCGGCTGACAAATTACCGCACCTTTCGAACAACTAATGTGTCCCTGCATAACTAATGACGAGGTCTCGCTTTGCAAGACAGATGCGTTAACCTTAATAGTCTGTCCACTGGTAAAATAAATGATGTTCTACAAATTTTACGTTTTTTTTAACTCCTGCTTTTCAGCAGGCGGTGATGCGCATAAGAGATTGTGTATGATCAGCGCGCCATTACCTCTCCGTGTGCCCTCAGTGTACCTAGTCGGGCATAATTGATGTGGTGACGTCACAGCTGTTGAGTGATTAATGACAACTTGTGCTGTTGATGAATGTAAGGCAGCTTGTAGTCATCATGCAATTACATATACGTTGAGCATTTTTTAAAATTATTTCTTTAAAGAAATATGGAACCCAAAAAATAGATACTTATGTAGGCTAGTATCCTGGGCTGTACATGAGTTAAATGATCTGTAAATGAGAAAAGACTTTAAAGTCATGGTCTAGCACATTACCATGTTCTGTTGTAATGACGTAAATACTTTCACGTTTTAAACATTTCTAGGTGTGTGGTCACACTGAATTTACTCTGGTACTGTCAGGATGAGCTTCATTATAGCTTTAAGAAACTATTTTCTTAAACCCATGCTTATCAGTCTAGGACACAGCTTAAGTATACACATGCGTACATATGTATGTTGAATTTCATTCGCACCTGTAAGTACGTAGCCAACCGTGTTAATCGGAGGTGGTGCAACATGAGACCTGTGGCTTTGTTTTGCCGCTTGCATTTTAATTATCGCGTGTTTGTCCACTGTTATCCTCCCCCCCCCTCCCCCCAGCCGGGTACAATAACCTGGAAGTGGCGGAGTACCTCCTGGAGCACGGGGCAGACGTCAACGCACAGGACAAAGGCGGGCTCATCCCTCTGCACAATGCAGCCTCCTATGGGGTATGTCAGAAACGACCCAACCATCTCTGAGACACACTTAAGCGTTTGTGCTTTCGCTACGTTGTCCCCACCTGAAGAAGAAACACGCTTGTGTTGCGCCCGAAACGTCGTGATTTGATTTAGTGTTTCATTTTTTTTTATTTTTTACCTACGTGACTTTACCGAATAGACCAAAGAGTATGACCCATGCCACACTGCCTAGACATGTATCTACAAGACAAAAGCTGGGTAGTTTATTTGGTTGAGTCTTTACATTATTTAGTTTGAAAGTTTTAGACACAATTACATCACAGGATCGTAAAGAGATGCCGATTGCTTGAGGACCTTTAGAAATTGATTGATTAGGATTGATGATGCTGACAATGCTTTATAAACAATGAATGATGATTTTGATTTAAAGCTTTCGTCACTGCAGGGATTCATATTCTTCGTTCTTTCGGTAAAGTCACGTAGAAGGGAAACAATAAAATAATAAAAATAAAAAAACAATACAATTCTCACGACGTTTCGACTGCAACACAAGCAATCATCATCAGTTGTGAAAACCACACCTGATTTTACCGAAAGAACCAAGAAAATGAATGATGATGTTAATCAAGTGCCAATTCACATCATCGCATCGCCTTTAGTGACGCTGGTGGTGTCGTCCTTGTTTTTCATGCAGCACGTGGACATCGCAGCACTGCTCATCAAGTACAGCGCGTGCGTGAACGCCACGGACAAATGGGCGTTCACGCCGCTGCACGAGGCGGCGCAGAAAGGGCGCACGCAGCTGTGCGCTCTCCTGCTTGCGCACGGAGCTGACCCCAGCATGAAAAACCAGGAGGGGCAGACACCGCTCGACCTCGCCACCGTGCGTAATGCCCGCAAGCTCAACCTCTGGCTCCTTGCACGCTTGCCCACTTCTTCCTCTTCATTCGCTCGATTGCCCAAAACCCTTGTGTATGCACAATCATCCAAGATTTGGTTTGTCCACTTGCTCGCTCGTACACACAAGCAACCTCATCCTTTGGTCACTTTCGCGCCCACCCCACCGCTGCCTTGCAAGCGTTTGCCCCGTCGTTTGGGTGTTCGCCCATTCCCTCGTAAGCACAATCGCTCCATTGCTCACGCGCTTCCTTGCCCCATTCCCTTGTTTGCTTATATTCCCCTATAGCACACCCACTGTGATCAATCCGCTCACTCAGATAGACGCTCACCCATTCTGCACCGCCAGTGGATTGGCAGGGCTCCATGTTGAATGACATTCTTGTTTCTTCAAGAACTTGCCCTTTGCAGCGGGGAAAGTGCTGGCGCACGTGCCAAACATGTAAACTAGCACCTGCATGGTGAATGTATTGTAGTGTATTTCACCTATGTCAAACTTCAATATCATGATGGGCTAGGTCTTATAGTCACACTTCAATATCATGATGGGCTAGGTCTTATATGCCTAAGGGTGTGTGCTGGGTGTGGCAAGACATATGTAAGTGTCATAACAATGGCCACTGGTTGCAATCTTTTAAAGTGAGGTCACACTGCTCTTCACATAATTGGCACGAGGCCAGTGTCTCTCTAATACCATTAGTGGGCAAGGCATATCGAGATGAATTTATCCTCGGCTATTATTCACTGCTCGATTAAGGGCCTCCCCAACATCGTTGGCATCCTTTCAATGCCACGGTTCACCTCTCTCCTGCAGCACATGGTAGCGTATGCCTGGAGCCCAATGCTATGAAGGAATTGGTTGGTGGATTACACAGATATCTGAAGTCGCAAGCCCAGTGGGCCCACTGGGCTGCTAGTTGGCCAAGAGCTGGCAGCACAGCGAGTGAATTCGTGAACCCATCTTTGTGGACTTTTCATTGTTGTGCATAAGTGTGTTTGTCTCCACACTACCCTTTGTTTCCTCCCATATGACGCGACAACTCCATTTAATTATCAAAACATCCCATAGGAGGGCCTGTGTTTCAACATTACTTGGAACTTGCTGCAAATCACGTTTGCGCTTCTTGGCTGCAGGCGGACGACGTACGAGCACTGCTGATAGACGCCATGCCACCCGAAGCCCTGCCTGTCACCCACAAGCCCCCCAGCATCCCGACCATAGCTGCCACCTCTGCTGCCGCCACCGCCGCTCTGGCTCTGGGTCCCACGCCAGCCCTGGCCTCGCTGGCACCGTCTCCTGTCCCGAGTGGAGCTTCGGCGAGCGGAGCGGGTGGCGTGCCGCTCCTGGCCTCTCCGTCCTCCACGCCGGCATCCCTGTCCGCTGCCAGTAGCATGGACAGCCTGACGGGGGCCTGCGGCGTAGCTCCATCGCCGGTGCCGGCCGGCGCCATCGGGGCGGGGGCAGCGGGAGACGGCACACTGCTGGGCGCTTGCGGGGTGTCGGCGGCCGATGGGGCAACGGGACCCGCCGACAAGCCAGACCGCTCGGCCGACTTTGAAAGTGAGGGGCGGTGGGGGTGCGGGTGGGGGATGGTGGGCGGGTTGAAAATGAATTACTAGGCATGGAACGATTCAATTTAACAATTGATTAGGTTTTTGTCACATTTTTGTTTTGTCTTATTTTGTTCGATTTGCCAAAATGTTACATTTGCATATTATTTACATTTTATATCGATAAAATTGTTAATTTTCACGTAAGATGATGTATGCATCGTGAGCATAAGATCGATTTGAATTGATTGTTGAATGCCTAATAATCACAGAGGAGTTGATATGCTTCCAGTGTACTAGTTTTGATAACAATACATGTATAAGATTTCTGCTTCAGTGAACTTGTACAGTGATTTACAAGTTGATATAATTATGGCGTTTTTTTACTTTGAAAAGCAAAAAATATCTTGACATGTTCACAGAAGAATGGACTTCGGGAAGGAGCTTTTCTTTAAATGGTATGGTAAGTGTCTCCAGTAGTCGCTGTGTGTTACCAGTAAGACATGCATTTTGTTTTATGTAGTTCCAGGTTTGGACATGAACATTAACATGTTCCTGAAAGGTCTGGGACTCGACCACCTCCGCGACATCTTTGAGAAAGAGCAGGTATTGTTGGCATTGCTCCACACAAACGACTAGTGTCATATTTTATCATCATCTAGGATGTTTCAGAGCAGCAGGGTGGCAACACAGTGGTGTAACACACATGCCTCGCAGCAAGCACTGCCTTGCTTCGATTCCTGACTCGCCTCTGTGTTCAGTTTGTATGTTCTCCCCCTGCATAGATTTCTCCAGATTCCTCCCATAGCTCGAAATTAAACATACTATGTATTGGCCAAACAACCTCGTGTTGAACAATTACATGAAAATTTCACAATTGGGAATACACCATAGCAACAACATCACCTCCTACTGCAAAAAGTTGGCAGGACCCTGATAAAAACAACTCGAGACATAGTGAGGCTTTCCTGGGTAAACAGCAATAATGATTTTAAAATAATAATTTAAGCTGATGACTGAAGGCATCATCATCACACTGTCACCTTCCCTCATGGTCCTACAATACCATAATCCATCTCACTCCTGCGCCAATATCCAATCTCATTACTCGCATGTCCGCAGGGGGTCATCTTCCTTGGCACGTTCTCACCTTTGGCTGCCGTTCCATCGGCAGCTTCATCCATCAGCCATTATCCCTTCCGGCAATACGTCCTGCCCGACACCCCTCCCCCCCTCCTACATGTTTTGACAGTCGCTCTAATGATTTGTGTGTTTGTTGCCTGAATCAAGTTGCTCCTCTTACTGTCAGTGCAATTCTAAGCGCCTATCTCTCCACGCTTTTCATGATTTTTCATTTCTTCCATTTTATTTGTTGGTGACTCATGGTACCGACTCGTACGTCAAGGCTGGCAGTTGTTTATTTACAGCGAATTAAGTGTTGTTTTATGCTTTCCAACAAAGGTGTAAAGTGTTTCTTCATTAGCTCTGCCTTTCTGTAATCGGGCAAACAATATAACGAATTAAGATTATTTAATATGAGTCAAACAATAGTATAGAATAGTGTTTGCTTTTGGAGACTTGCCGTGCTGAAAAGCTACCAAATTCAGTTAAAGTGTTTCCTATAACCCATGGACACATACCAGAACAAAAAGGACTTTGCAAGTTCCTCGTCTGCTTCTGTACTGCTAATTAAGTACTTCCCAAGACCATGCGTATGCATGATTTCTCATTAACGTTTTTTCCCCTCCCATACGCCATCTGCCAATGCAAGCAAAAGCTCGCTTGAACGCCGGTGCGTTTATTGTGCGCACGTGGCGTGTTTAGATCACCCTGGACGTCCTCGCGGACATGGGCCACGAGGAGCTCAAGGAGATCGGCATCAACGCCTACGGACACCGCCACAAGCTCATCAAAGGCGTCGAGAGGCTCCTCGGAGCGCAGCAAGGTGACCCCTCGTTATGCGCGCGCGTGCACATGTACCAGGAAGCCTCGCCAAAAACTGGCGCAGCTCCTTTGCAATTGCAGAAAAGCATGCCCTAGTTGCTCTGCTAAGTGCGAAGTGAGATTTACAAATGATAAGACCTTCTAAGTAAGATTCCTGGGGCGTGTTCAACGAATCGTATCGATAAAATGCCTCTCCTCAGTTGCAGAATTGATTGTGGAGTATGCCCGTGGGTTCCTTGGTGTTTCCGTGTGCATTCCTGGCCTTGGCAGACCCCATCTCTGCGGTGCCACCGCATTAATACTTTTTAAGACCACGAGTGATTTTGACTAATCCTGCAAAACACTCGAAGGACGCAACCTTGGCTGCTCTCACCCCCCTTCTTCCCACCACCCTCTTTCCCCAGTCAGTCATGCATATCCATAAGCCTGCCGCATTAATGCAGTGCCAGATTCACTGTGTGGTGGTCCTAACCATCGTAGCTTGTTTGATATTTCGTGTGTGTGCGCACGTTTCTGGGTAAGCAGTGGCTTGCACACTGCTAAGATTCTGGTAACTGAGGTTTGATTTCCTGCCAATGACTTGCTACCCCTCTCATAACATTTTCCTATTTTTTTCCGATTTTGCGTATGACATAGTGAATAGCAACTTAACGAAAGCTGTGGCTTGAGATGCGGTTGCATCTTGACACAATCTAAATCCAAATTGTATTCTAATAGTGGTGTCAATTCAGTCATAAATGAGTAACTTGTGCGGTGTATGAACATCAGCACTGGGGGAGACAAAGGCAGCCAGGCATGGTTCCAACCACACGCCACCCTCTTGTGCACCTTGCCGGTTTGAACAGGCGCTCGCTAACGGCACTTTGCCCTGCAATTCTCTCGGGTTAACCGGGGAATTTGTGCGCTATTCGTTTTGCAGGTGGGTTGGCGTACCCTGGAGCGAACCCCTATCTGTCTTATCACACGACGGCACAGGGCACGCTGCTCATCGACCTGCCGCCCGACGATAAGGAGTACCAGAGTGTGGAGGACGAGGTGAGGTGACTCCGGCACTGCTGTGTGCAAAACAGCTGCAGACGATACCGCTGTTTGCAGCCACGGATAGTGGAAATGCAAATAATAGTCATCGGTTAGAAAATTGCCTGGAATGTGCCCGATTTCCAATCCCGGAAAATAAGCAAAGTTGAGCTTTGATCGTGGTTGGATGGGTGACCCCCATCCACAAACAGTTTGTCGTGAGGTTACAGGATTACTCCGTGGGCACCAGAGGGCAGCGCAGAAAAATCTATTTTCCTCTACTTCTGTGCTAACCACCGTAACCTAACCTGCTCTGACTGGCTTGGTCAAATAATCCCCACTACGACTTGAGGCATGGGCAGGCCTTCATCCAGCACTGGATAATGCAAGGGCTTCACGTGTAGTCATGCGGGTGGTAACATTGCAGCTACGGAGAATGGTAATGGTGATAGTGCAGCTGTTGACGGAATTAGAGCCACTGATAATTATCAGTTACCAGCAGCACTCATTATAATGCATGCTGCTGGTAACACTACACCAGATAAAGACAGTGCTGCAGAAACTGATACAACTATTGACAATTCTATCGCTGATAATGGCCGCGTTAATAATGCTGTCATCGCTGTAAATGTTATTTGCATAGGGGATGATATGTGTGGTGGGTGACAAGAGCTGTGTTCTTTAATCCTCTTGGGTAATTCAGATGCAAAGCACCATCCGGGAGCACAAGGATGGTGGACAGGCTGGCGGAGTCTTCAACAGATACAACGTCATTAAGGTGCGGAGGCAGACACGCAGCAGCAGTTTCAGTTTTCAGTTTTTCAGTTTCTTTATTTTGGTATAGCCCTGTGAGCCATTCGGCTCTTGAATCGGGTGCGACCACAACAAACAAAAAACAAAAACACGAACAAGAAAAACAGCTTAAAGTGACTGTGACTGTGCAAACAGAAAATCCATGGGAAAAAACAGCGAAAATATTGCTGAAAAAAGCACCGTACACCAACGCTGTGTGCAAAAATTCCAGTGGGATACAAGTCAAACAACAACAACCACAAGAAAACTTAGATTAAGGCCATCAGTCTAACTCCGTACTACAACAAAACAAACATGTCCACACTAAAAAACTTTACGAAATCGCGAAAAAATAAAGCGATAATTGCAACGTAACAGTGATCATAGGGACTGTGACCGGATTTTTACAATAAACTACATAAATAACATGTAACACCAAATCCTAGAGCCATAGCTGGCTGCATGAGTTACTCCACATCAACAGAAGCATCAGTCGGAGTATCAAATTTTTCAATGCACCTTGAAGATTAGCACGCTAAATCAAAATACAGATAATACTTTGCTGCGTCATCCGGAACCAAAACATTTTAGTTTATTTTACGCCAATGAATAGCAGTGGCAGCTAGGGGTGTACAACTCCTCTAGAACAGTTTTGAGAGAAGATCTCATTGGTAACGATTCAAGTTGCAGTTTATTGACAATAGCATTCCAGACCCTGGGGGCATCAATAGCAAAGGCCCTTCAGTTTTTGTACGGCAATAGGGAATGTGAAGCTGGTAAATGAGCGAAGACCTGAGGTCAAATTTGTTCTTTGAAACAGAGAGGAGATCCAGCAGGTAGTCTGCGGATTTTTTGTAAGTACATCGTGAATAAATAAGATCTGTTGCACAAGCCGTCGAACATTAATAGATGTTAAGTTTGACCCAATGTAGAGATCACAGTGGTGAGTCCTATATGGGCAGTTCAATGTAAATCTTAAGGCCGAGTGATAGATGGACTCAAGCTTCTTCAGTACAGTACTTGGGGCTGATTTATACACGATGTCACAGTAGTCAAGTAGATGCAGTATGGTAGCTTTTATCAGTTCCAAACGGAACATTGGGGAGAAGCAGTGCTTGTGTCGATACAGAAAACCAATTTTTATTTTTGTCTTTTTCCTAATATAATCAATGATCTTCAAAATTCAGTTTTGAATCCAGGATGACGCCAAGATACTTATAGATCTTAACTTGCTCTATTTGATAATTATTTAAGGAATGTAATTGGGGAAAAATAACTTCCCGCTCTAGGCCTGGTGAGAAGCATAGCAGCTTGGTTTTGGAGGTATTCAGGACTAGTTTAAGAGCAGTGGCAGCAGCAGAAGTCCCCACATTAAAAACAAAAGATCTAAGGCGTAATTTTAGCTACTTAAGATTTTTTAAAGTGTACAAGAGGGTATTCTCTTCCAATATTTCTTTCACCTCTTATAATTCTTGTAAAAGTTGATTCTCAATAGAATGGTTTAAAAAATATATACACTATCTTTTTAGTAAAGCATACATAATTCTTTAATTCCCTGCTCCTTAAAGTATTGGTTGTATACTTGGGACAATAGTTATGTTTACTGAAAGGGAATTACATGACACTTATTTGGCCTTAATAGAATAAAAAAAAGTTAGAACAGAAAACAGCAAATTTAAAAGTAGTAGTCTGGGGGAAGGGGTGGTTGAGGAGGTCTGTGGTTGTTGACGGGTGAGGCACATGTGTGCAGGGTGAGGGAGCGCAGGTTGCCGAGGCAGCATTGCAGTGGCACGTAGAGGTCAGTCATCGAGGAAAAGACCTGAAGCCAGATGGTGGTCATTATCATGACCATGGAGATGGTCTGTAAAGGCAGACCTTCCAGGTTGGGGGTTGACTTTCAATAATTTGCAGGATCTACCAGAAGAAATGAAATGGCATGTGGTGGCGTCAGCGGCGGTGGCATTAGCCACGATGGCTCCTCGACCCCGTGGTTACTGAATGTTGAATGGTCCCTAATGTGTTCTCTTGGTGACCCCACTGCTTCGTCCCCGTTGCACGTGTTCAGATCCAGAAGGTGCGCAACAAGAAGCTGTGGGAGCGCTACACGCACCGCCGGAAGGAAGTGACCGAGGAGAACCACAACCACCACAATGAGCGCATGCTGTTCCACGGTCAGACGTCGCGATGCCCCCCCCAGTCATGTAGTCCCTCTTCGTACACCAATTTCCAGTCGGGTTAAAAATAATCGTCTAAAAAATACAAGAGGCCAAGTAAGGGATACCGGAAAAAACGGCATTATTTGTCTTGAACCTCTCGCGATCTCAAATTTGGCAGTGCAGCTGTGCCCCCAATGTTCCTACATGTGTGTAAGCAGCTGGAGCCTTAGCATCGGTAGGAGCAGGGTCTTTTAATGCGTTGTCAATCGCGTTTAACTAATTGTGACAGTTGAGCATTGCGGGGACACTTGATTCCACTTTGCCATCCCCTTGTCCCCCAAACTCTCCTTTCTCCACTCGGTGCGCTTGCCACAGGCTCCCCCTTCATCAACGCCATCATCAACAAGGGTTTTGATGAGAGGCACGCCTACATCGGCGGCATGTTCGGCGCCGGAATCTACTTTGCGGAGAACTCGTCAAAGAGCAACCAATACGTGTACGGGATCGGCGGGGGCACGGGCTGCCCCGTGCACAAGGATCGCTCCTGCTACATCTGCCAAAGGTAATGGGGATCGACTATGGAACAAAACCAGAAGAAAAAAAACATCCACACACGTTGGTAAAATCGGTCGGTCAATCGATTCAAGATTTATAATGCCGCCGCCGCCGCCTCCCCAATATTCAAAACTGAGACAGAAGCACGAATGGCATGAATACCACGGTGGTGAGATGTTAACTACCTCGCGTGGTATACAGGAGGTCGTAGGTTCGATCCCGATCCCTGACGCCTGTATATTTAGAGTCTGCGTGGATTTTTCTCGGGGTCGTCTGGATTTTCCCTCATTTAGAATCAAAGTGCATTTGGAGTATTTGGCTTCTATAAATTTATGCATGGTGAGCCATTTCGTTGAGCTGTCATTTGTGGTCATGTCACTTCTGAACAAGAGCGATTTAAATTTTGATTTAAAGCTTTCGTGACTGCAGGGATTCATATTCTTGGTTCTTTCAGTAAAGTCACGTAGAAGGGAAACAATAAAATAATGATACAAATTTTTTTTTTAATTGTTTCCCTTCTACGTGACTTTACCGAAAGAACCAAGAATAAGAGCTATTTAGCTCAGTAGGCCTTAACCATTAACATAAAACAAATTGTTTAGTTTAAGTTACTAAATATACTGTGAAATAAAAACAAACTAAACGCAAAGAGCAGAAGAGAAAATAAATGTTTTTTAGTCTGGTCTTAAAATCACCAATTGTCATGGATGACCGGACACAACTCAGTTGGTAGAGACAGTCCACCGAGGCTGCAGATGAGAATCTCCATTGTGCTGTCCTAAGCCGAGTGGATTTCACACACAGCCTCGGGTTCATACCGGATGAGCGTAGATTTCACGATGGTAAGTAATGGGTGCCACCTTTGTTGGAGGAGAGCTGCCACTGCTGCCTTGACCATTTTAACCCTTTCCTGTTCCGAGACGTCTGCGAGTTGCAGGGTGGGTGTCCTGTTCACCACTGAATCTTGGAATGCGCAAGTGGTTCAGCCTTAATTTTATTTAGAGTCGTAGCACCGCTGTTTTTAAAGACATTGTACTCGCCGCAGATAACTGTAAAGACTCGACCGCACTCTACGATAGCTGGTGCCAAACTGTGCCACGCCCTCCCGCATGGTCTTGTGCGAGCCTCGGTATCGATGAATTTATTTTATTTTAGTTTTATTCCCGTTCTGTACATTATCGGAACGGAATAGGAATAAAAAGTTAATCGGAACGGTAAAGGGTGCAATGGCATGGTGCAGTGGTTAGCGCGCACTGCACTCTCAAACCGCAACCCGAGTTAACATTCACAGCCACGGCTTAACATCAGTGGTGAAGTATAGACAAACGACATGGTTGGAACGTACGGTGCAAAATAAGTTCAACATACATCAACGAAAGGTGCAGGGAGACCATCAGTGGATTGACAAAGAGCTGTACATTATCAGTGAATTGTTGTTGAGTAGAGCAGTTTTGTGGCAAAATGTGATGCGCTGCAAAGATTTGTTTTGTCAAATATGGGTCCCAAACAGAGAGTCCCTGACCCCGAGGGATATGGTTGGGAAGCCCTGGCTCGAACTTTAGTCCTTGCCGTATTCCATATCTCTAAACACGAGCTTTTTAACCCTTGAACTATCAAACCTTGGACAGCCCTCACACGAACACCATCTCTTATCTCGATTGTTGACAGTAGCTCCCGACAGCATCGTTTTATAAATCTAGACTACGCCAAAGCATTGATAATTGTGTATACATGGCCCTGCCAAGGAGTTGCGGTGCAACTACATGATTGGCAGTAGAGGGCAGTGCAGAAAAATATATTAATGTTCTTGTACTCTCCCACGTCTATGCTTCCCATCTTCACCATGAATGTCAAGTTGATTGACAAAGGGCTCTTATGTCAACACAAAGAGCTGTACGTAAACACGTGCCATTGGTTCGTTTCCTGCTCCGAACCTCGGCCTCACTGTTATTTGCTATGTAATTGCTCAGCCCTCTTCTCTGCTCCCCTCCCCCCCGCATCATCCCCTTACCCCCGCAGGCAAATGCTGTTTTGCCGCGTGACGCTCGGCAAATCCTTCCTGCAGTTCAGCGCTATGAAGATGGCGCACTCGCCGCCGGGACACCATTCCGTGATCGGACGGCCGAGCGTAAACGGCCTGGCCTTCGCCGAGTACGTCATCTACCGCGGCGAGCAGGTGAGCCATCTCCACCGCCTCCTCTACCTCCTCCAGCTTCATTCTAACGCGTAGGCGACTGAGCCACCATCACAGCCCCAGCAACTCCTGGCGGAATAATCGGCAGCCCCCCCACCAAGGGTTGTGAATCCACCGCAGGTTGTTGCACCAAAATCGAATAATGGAAAGATGCAACAACAACAAAAACCACACAAGGGTCCTTGTAGATCTGCACTGAGGATGCCTTGCCCTGGGCTGTCCAGCATGAGTTTGAAGTGGTAATGCAACTTTAACAAACATGACGGTCAGGTGTGCCGTGCCGTCGTCGGCATTCTGAGACCGGTCAGTTGTCAGCGACGTGCACCACATTGATGCGTTAAAATATGTAAGAGTGTCGTCACTAAAGTGCTTTCATGGCATGCATCACCATAATTTTAAATCTTGACTTTAAGCTTTTGTGACTGCAGGAATTCATATTCTTTGGGTCTTTCGGTAAAGCCACGTAGATAGAAATAATAAAAATAACAATATCACGACGTTTCGATCGCAACACAAGCAATCGTCATCGGGTGAAAAAAGGGGGAAAGCTGCTGAGGCAGCCTTTTTATAAAGGTTTAGAGATGGGCGGGGCAGCTAATGTTAATGTAGGAGAGGTCTCTGTAACCGGCAGTAGGTCTACACCAATCAAAGAGCTGTTTACAAACATTTAGAGATGCTTGTAAATGTAAGCTCGGAGAGAGCTAGGAAAGAGCCATCGCCACATGGAGGTGGAAAAGGATGGCAAGCTGCCATTTACTAGCACAGCTAACGGTGGCCGTGTTAGTAAATGTAACTGAGAAACGAAGCTGTGGGGGTGGCCATTGTATTGTGAGAGATTAGCATGTCAATGTAAGGATGTGATTCCTGATATGCAATACCTGGGTGTCTACAAACTGAGTTGTGGCTGCGGCAGCAGTTACATTGGGGAAACGAAACGACATGTCTCGGACCGCGTTCGTGAACACAAGGCAGATCTGAAACACGGTAGGACCAATACCTCATCCGTGGCTGATCATTATTTTAATGCGGTGGGCACACACGAAATTTATTTTTCCAAGATGAAGGTACTCTACAAACCCACTGGTTATCAGCAAAGATTCGTTCATGAAGCCATACAGATATCTAAACACAGACACAATTTCAACCGAGAAGATGGGTACAAACTGAGCAATCATTGGAAGGTCGTTATTATATGAAGATGGCGCACTCACCGCCATATCTATAAACACGAGCTTTTTAACCCTTGAACTATCAAACCTTGCTGGGCGACTCTGAGTACATTCACTATCACAGCCACCTTTAGCTGTGTTAGTAAATGGCGGCTTGCCATCCTTTTCCACCTCCATGTGGCGATGGCTCTCCGAGTTCTCTCCGAGCTTACATTTACAAGCACATTTCTTACATTTACATGCTAATCTCTCACAAGCAATCGTCATCACCTGGTGATGATTGCTTGTCATCAGGTGATGGCGATTGCTTGTGTTGCGATCGAAACATCGTGATATTGTTATTATTTTTTTCTATCTACGCGGCTTTACCGAAATACCCAAAGAATACATAATTTTAAAGTCTTACTAATTTTTGTTGGATGCCGTGTTAGTTATGGACTTTGTTTAACTGCACTTTATACCGGTTTGGTGTTACAAGAATAACATTTGGATCGCTGGTTTTATATAGCTCATTGCATGAACCACTTCTCCAGTGTTGAAAATTAAGGGCAAATTTTTGTTAGGTATACATTTTCCAAATTAACTGCTTTAGCAGTGCTGTGTGATTATAAGCGTGGACTTGATACGCCTTATCCATAATAGAGGTTTTTGGGTTAGATAGCGCAAATCTCAATGTGTCGTTAAAACCGCCACCACCCGACAGCCAAACCGGTAAGGTTTGTCACGTAAACAAAATATACCAATTCGTTACTAGTTCAGCACACCGGTTTGTTTGAGAGTAAACCTACAACATTTACAATATTTACGTGATCTAACCCAAAAACCTCTTGTGGATAATATTGGCCGCGAAAGCCGACGTGTTAAGCTTGATGTGCGCCTTATCAGCGGCATTGTTAACACTGTGTACTGCTGCTGCCGCCGTGTGTTTACTGTCCTCAGGCTTACCCGGAATACCTGATCACCTACCAGATCCTGAAGCCCGAATGCACGCCAGACTTGACCTCGGCCGCTGGGCAGAAGTCTTAGTGAAACAGCGCACGACTTGTTTGTAAATAAGAACATGGACATTATTATTCTTATTGTTGCTGTAACTGAGAAGGCATTGTTGTTTTTTGGACTTTTGGATATACAGTAGTAAGAATGAGTGAACGGTGATGTTGCCACCGATTTAATGAAGCTTGTGAGAGCGCCCAGCAAGATATCGTCCCGAAAGCTTTGACCCAAGGTCTGCAAAGTTGCACTGTCGAGATCCCCCTTTTTATTTCAGCGTGCTGCTTCGTTGTGCCATCGACAAGTCAAGTTGTACCGGTCCGCAGGATACTGCGGGCAGTTTCTTTTTCGTTGGGGGTAATGGCTTCATCCGCTTGAGGAGCGCGTCGCGGCTGCCACTTTAAAAAAGGTCCTGGTGCGATAGTGGGGGTGTGTGCAACCTTTTTGACCTTTTGTGGTGTTTGTGTCTCCGTCGTGGAGCTTTTTAATTGCCGGGAGCAAAGAGGTCATAATAAGGGGTTTTTTTGGGGTTAGATCCCGTAGGTATAAGTGTGACGTTAACCTGCTGCCATCCGACACTGCCAACCAGTAAGGTTTGTCACGTAAACATAATGTGCCAATTAGTTACTAGTTCAGCCAACCAGTGTGTTGGAGAGTAAATTTGCAACATTTACAATTTGAGTACGACGTTTCGCTGGCAATTACATTCAGCATCATCGGGGGATTTTGCTAGAAGAAATGTCGTCCTCAAATTGTAAATGTGGATTTGCTCTCCAATACACCGGTGGGCTAAACTAGTAACTTATTGGCAAGTTTTTTTTACGTGACACAGCTTACTGGTTGGCTGTTTCGGGTGCTGGTGGGTTAACGACACGTACGTACGCGATCTAACCCAAAAAAAACAATTATGAATAATATTGGTTGCGAAAGCCTACATGTCAAATTGAGCAAAGAGTTGTTCAGAATCTGGTATTCTACGTCGCAAAATGGAAGGAAATTTAAGTGAATGCAAACTTAAACGATTGATTGCCCACTGCTGATGCCAGCTTAAACAAATTTTAAGATTTGCTTCAGCTGGTCGGTTCTTGGAATAACAATTATACTCAAGCCTGGGGTTGTGCGAGAAGGCTGTATTGTATTTACCAGTTCTTGAGAATAGTAAACATTGTCCACACGTCGTTCATATTTCTTACAGTGAAGGTTTTGATTTGTGGTTTTGACGAGGTCCTGGAAACTGTTGCAATACTGTTATGGGTTTATATCATGGCCTGTTTAGTTCCTGTGCACGTAAAAACCCACCTTTATAAATAACTTAACTGAAAATTTAAGGCAATAATTCTATATTTAAGAGTTCCATAACAAACGACATGTTTCGGCTGTTCATAGTTCATTATAACTTTTGCTTTAAAATGTTGAGCTATTTTCAAAAGCGCTCCTTTGAAATCCAATTTGTTGGTTGACAGGAGCCACGTAATGGTACCGTACGTTTTGGTGAATGAACGACCTTTCGGGGTTTAACCCGCCCAGCGCTCGCTCGCTCACTCTAAATAATCTCTCCCATGTTTACAGAAATTCCGTGCGTGGTCCAAACATTGCCCCTGATATCCACCGTGTCCCGACGTCTCCTCCCTTTAGATGCGTAATGCAGCGACGGCGGTGATGGTGGTGTCCGTGGCAGGATGGTCAATATTTATGAACAATTGATCTTTGCAATAACATAATGAACTGACGTTAGACCACCTACCTGGAAGGCAACTTGTAATGTTGAACACGTTTATTTCAGTCTTTACGAAGAAGGACACGGCAAGAGTGGGTTTCGGGAACGGACGCAATATTATAATTATTGTATCATTGTTATTATATATATAGCTCTGTTGTTAAGCCGCTGCTTTGTCTTGTGCTGTGATGTCTCGGCGTTCTGCATGTGCTGTTTTATTTTATTTTGAAGTTTGCTTTTGTCCGGTTTGTATCTAGCATACTCCCATCTTCTGTATCATATTTCACATTTTAGATTGTCTGCTGTGAAATTAAATAAAAACTTGTACATTGTTGAGTTTGAGAGACGTTTGCCTGGAATGTGCATTTGGTTTTTTACCAATAGTTGGAAGGTTAAGTCACATTCTTAAAACATGATCCAAACCACAAGAGATAAGTACATTAATGTCACTATATATTTATTTTATAGCCAGCTGAGAGTCCATTGAGACAAAGTATCCGTTACAAGTGAGATTTGGGATCAAATACAACAAAATGTGGGTACCTTAGATTAAAATTGTGTTCAAAATATAACCATAGATAAATATACCATACAGAATAAAAAATATTTGTACTGGAGGAGTCCAATGAGCGATAAAGCTTTTTTTTCACATGTCCAGTAGGGGCGGGGAAGAACGTTACAACACTACGAAAACACGATGGGAGTGTAAGTATAAGAAAGGTAAACAAATCACACAAACTAAACCATCACCCATCCTACCAGACAGCGCCCACTGAGGTATTAACTTTATAAAAAAGCGACCTGGCCACATGATAGCTCAACAAAGTGGCTCGTCATTTGGACAGTACCAGTGTCCGAAAGACACCCGAAGCGTTTACGAAAAATATTTTTTCCCCCCGATTGTAAACGGTCTGAATTCACGCTGGAATAATGACAACACGGAGTCCCGGACTCTGGGCGGCGCTTTAGGAAAGTGTGCGGTGCTGAGCGGAGAGAAGGCGCGCCAGCACGCCACGTGCACCAGTTGAGCTTCCCATGTATTTTGGTGCCTCGTGCTAAGGTTTGGATGCTTTAAAAAAAAAAGGAAATCGTGTATGGACGTCAACGTAAGTGCGAATTGAACGTCGCTGCTTTGCATTGTCCGGGTTCAAACTTTTCCCAAACTCTGGGCTATGCTGCGATGGTTTAGACGTGTGAATCGATTTCCTCCAGTAACACGATACCAAATAAGGTTCCATTTTAGGCTTCACTGCCATCTCCCGCATAGTACCAGGTATTGTACTTAACGGCTAAATATTAAGAGACAGGCTCGCATGTAAACGAAGCGGCCGCACCTCGTGTATCGGCTGGCCAACTTGCACGTGTACGGCAACGTTGGACGAAGTTGAACAGTCGACCGCGAATCGCCGCCACCACTTAGCCATCTTAACGATTACAGTCGTGATTTGCAGCTGCTTCATGAAGGAAAGGGCTGCCGTTCCTGTCATGGGGATTACTTGCCCATACTTCACCGTGCTGGTCATTGTGGGTTGGTAAAGCGTGTGTTCAAGACCGGTTCAGATGTTACTCGCCACAGATGCAAGCCGGGGTCGAGAATCAAACGCGGGTCGTTGGGTTCGAAAGCACAGCGCGCTAATCATTGTGTCACCGCTCCACATGGCAACACCCTTGACGATTGGAAATTCCGCCCGTGAGCGTTCGTACCTGGGATTAGTCCGAGCACACCTGGTGGGGGCGAGTTCTGGCTATCACCTTCACCTGCATGGTGGATCACCAAATCGGACCTGGCGATTGGTGATCGTGGAGGTGTAAATGCGGACAAATGTTAGTTCAAGGTACGGGAGTCGTAATTGAAGTGAAATTCCAGTTTTTTTCTTTGCTGTACAGGGTGGTCCAGATGTCTGGTGATCTCCAATCCATTGGGCCCTAACATGTCTTTTACCCTTTGCATATTAATTTATGTTTTAAATAAACCTTTAAACATTTACGTTTTAGAGAATTTAAATGGGGATCACAAGACATCTGGACCACCCTGTACAGTTAAACTGTTTCAGCATTCAAGTAGCCCGTTGAGTCTACAGATATCGAATTTAGATGTAAATAAAACACATTCGTGTTATGCAACAGGCTCCTGATTAGCAGCGACTAATTTCATCCGGAACGGTCCCGAGCGCTCATTCTGCAGTTTTTGTTGGCACGACACAGTCATCCATCTCGCCTTATTGTGTCCTCTGGAAACGTCAGTCATGTATATAGGGTTTCAGCCAGAATAATCTACAATAACACGATATTGTTCTGCATAAGCGTACCCTGTATGTGTGTATGTTGAACTTCTTTCACACAGTATGCAGCCAGCCGTGCTAATCGGAGGTGCGGAGGAAGGACCACAAAGCAGTGGTAGTGCCTTACGCCGATAAGCCCTCCCAAACTAAGCCTTGCAGCATTCCGAGTGAGAAATTAAGCCCTGCCCGATAAGTGACCTACACAGCCTCATCCCTCAATGCAGTTGGTCTCGGCCCAGGTTGAGGTGGCGTTGTCAGCTGTGGTGCGGCGTGACTTCCACGATTCCGATCTAAAGCCCCCAAACTTGAGCCTATGGTCGCTTGCGCCAGTTGCTCCTTCAGACGGTGGTGGAAGCGGCAGTGAATTCGGGCACGAATTTCCTGCCGGCGTGCTTGGAAAGGCTTTGCCAACGCGGTTTGTGTCGTTTGCTTCTGCAGATAAACCCACGCCGGCGGCGTTGCTTAAGTCTTACATTTCGGCGCTGTTCGATTCCGTGGATTTAGCTTCCATCCGTTAAAAAAAGAACAGAAATTAAGGAGCACGCGCCTTGAAAAAATAACTAGGCCACGCCAAAAAAAGTGGACTTGGTCGTTTACAGACAATGTAGATTTTAGATGAAGGAAAATCAGTTTAATTTTCGCTTTAGCACCTGCGCGCCTACGTGGCACAAATCGGCCACCCAAAGTGCCATCACAATAATTATCGTACATCTGTTAAGATGAACACCTAATGTATATTTAAACTTGGCGCGTCTGTTTAAAATAATAAAAATGGTAAGGCAAGCTGGTCTGTCATGATCGCACCCTATCAGCGCTACATCATGGGACCTCCTTTGCCAGTACCAAAATATGATAATAGTTTTTCCCCCTTATTTCTGGCAACAAAACAGCTGTGCAAAGATGTTAAAACACCAAACTGATAATATATGCATTGTCCTTGAAACTGATTGGTCCACACCATTCCTCTGATCGTGCATTGTCTTTGTGCTGTACGCCTTTTGGCGTCCTCTGGTCTAACACCGTTTTGAGACTAGGCTCAAAAGAAAGCTGTATTTTTTGTTGTTTGATTGTGCCAGCATCATCTCCCCACGGCCCCCACGGCCGCACAAATAACTTCATAAGTGAATTAGACGCACGTAATATTGACCACTCGGCACAAGCAAACTCTGGTCGGTGCGACGTCATGTGTTCCCAAGTTGTATTCCACACTGACACACTTATTTTATTGGAGAATCGGGCTGAGAAAAAACAAATCTACCAAAAATATATATAGGTGAAAAAGATAAAACATCGATTCTTGCATCGAATCACCGGTGGATACCTAATTGTGACCGAGGGATTGCTAGTTCGTGGGAGGCTACTCGTGGAGTTGATACATAATGCGCACACAATGTACACACGTAATGCACACAAAATGTACATACACAATTTACACACACACATGCAAAATGTGTATTCATAATGTCCATACATGACGTGCATGCATAATGTGCATGCGTGATGTACATACATTACCTATGTTGATTAACTGTGAATAACCCAACCAATAATTATAGATATCCTCAGGAGCGGAGCCAGGATTTTCAGCCCGGGGTGACATTCAACAAATGTTAATTTCAAGAATGATTAGAGAGTCAGGCTGTTGAGCCAGACGCCATCGGTTGGCGACACACTCTGACAATGCAGTTGCACGGAGTCCGCCAGACTGAGTGTCGTACACTTATACGCAGAATGTTTCAGATTTTCGATTTTTTGTTTTTTTTCGGGGGTGACAATTGTCTACCCTGTCACCCTCCTGGCTCCCCCCCTGGATATCCCCCCCCCCCCCGTTCTTCGCACCTAATTGGCTCACAAGCGACGTTTATCCCCCGCTCTATTGAAGATCGAAACGAGGCTTTCTCCCCAACTCTGGCTGTCGCCTGATAATGCTGGTTGTTGAATTGCCGGCGAAAGGTCACGGTATTCGTTTACGCGACAAACCTTACTAATTGGCTGTGTCGGATGGTGGCGGGTTTCACGACACAACATTTATATATTTACGCAAACTAACCCCCCCCCCCCCCGCCCCCCCCAAAAAAAACCTCTCCATTATGAATAATATTGGTCGCGAAAGCCCTCTACTGCTGCTGCTGCGTGTTAGGGGCCGTCCATAAATGACGTCACGCACCTGGGGGGGGGGGGTCATACATTTGTGACGATGTGTAGCGATGGGGGGGGGGGTTGAGAAATGTGACGTCACATCAAAATGCGCAACCTTAAATAAATATAGACAACACGTTCTACTTAATTAAATTGACTTTTTTAAATAAATGTTTTCTCCTACAACATCAGAGTGCAGCGGCACATTAAATACGCACTACAATGACAATAGTTTAAAGCGATTTGAAGCATTTTTTATTTTTTTAGGGGGGAGGGGGGCAGAGCTTTGTGACGTCATATTTGAGGGGGGTCTGACTTTTTGTGACGCCGTGTGACGAAGGGGGGGGGGGTCAAAAATCGTCCAAAATCGCGTGACGTCATTTATGGACTGCCCCTTAAACGCAGTCGGTGCTGTTCGCGCACCTCGCCACGAGGGGGCGACTTGCTGTAGCAGCAACAGCGATTCGTGATCAACACAACACTTTACAAAACTAAGACGCATTTGTTTATTTTACCAGGTATAAAGGCCCCAACTGAGCTACACAGTTCTCTTTCAAGAAGCGACCTGGCAATCACAAATGATAGCTCAACGAAGTGGCTTATCGCGTTGAAAATCATAGCAGCCAAATATTATGAACGCTTGACGTTGATTCTAAACGTGGAGGCAAAACCCCGGAGGACCCGGGAGAGAGACACGCAGACTCCAAATATACAGCAGCAGGCGTCAGGGTCAGGCTCAAACCCACGACCTCCTGTATACCAGGAGAGGTAGTTAACATCTCCTAGCCACCGTGATGATGATGATGAGAGAGAGAGAGACACGCAGACTCCAAATATACAGCAGCAGGGTCAGGGTCAGGCTCAAACCCACGACCTCCTGTATACCAGGCGAGGTAGTTAACATCTCCTAGCCACCGTGGT